TTTAGGTAATTTTTGCTTGATCTGTTGTTTAACTTTTTGAAGTGTTTCGTTTTCAATGCATAATGATAAATATGTTTTTCATAGATTGCGTAAAATGAGCCACAAATTTGACGTAATTTTTAAGATTTTGGTTGTTTCCAAAGAGCATATATCATAAGTTGATTGAATACCTAAATAACATATATTGAACAGCTTTCCCTTTCAGACCTGTTTTTAGGATCGAACATAACAGAACCGTTTATCGAACACTTAAAGCATTACCACGAACCCGGAGAAATGAGCTGTACAAACCCCGGAAACTGATATTATTCTTTAAATGTCTCAGTAATAGAATTTAGGGAATCTGAACTTATTTTATCATACAAATGTCAATGTCAATGGACTTTTTATTACTAAACTTTTCAATGAAACTTGGATATAACTCTTTTTAGCAAAATCCTAAACGCAGTGACGGATTCACTTTAGTATGTCAACCTTTCCAATTTCTAATTTCTAATTGTTGTGAACGTTTTCGTAAGTGGATCCGGTGATGTTTTGTAAATGTTTTCACCATCATTTTAGAAGCATTATCTGAAACTAGCTGTGCTCGTACCATCTTGAGCAAGACTAAGCTACTAAGACATGTAGAGGGGTTTAGCTCAGTTTACATTACTCTTGATAGATCAGCTGCAGATAAGATGGCCTACCAACTGCTCAATAAAAGGACAGCAGAGCCGGACACGTAATCAGGAACTTAAAAGTAGTTAGCTCGGAGAAGGAGCCTTGAGAGTTTTATTTTCTATATTAGTACAATATTATATGTTTTGATTAATTTTTTATTTGCTAGGGCCCAATGTTATTGCTGGTGTGGTATTTGTTACTGCACACTTCTGTGTTTTGGTTACCCTTCTTTCAATACATAATTTGGGTTTCGATATAATTATAATGGGCTTTGAATAGTTAATATGTCATTGTGGCGCTGTATTCCCGTTCCGAATAACCTCAATATGCGCTGTTCTAAACCTGTGAGTAGTTTACCTGCTGGACGGTTTGTTCAGGAGCTGGCTGCACACCGTCCACCACCGTGTTCACAACCTGATGGGCGGTTTCCACTCCGCCATCCACTAACTGCTGCACCTGCTGCACCTGGTCCTGCTGCACTTGGTCTGCTTGTTGTTGGTCCTCTGACTGCAGGGGAACCACCACTATCTGTGGGTTCGTCTGGACAGGAGCTGCGGGCTGTTCTGCTGTATCAGAAGCTGCGGGTTGTTCTGCTGTATCAGAAACTGCGGGTTGTTCTGCTGTATCCTGCTGTACTACTACTACTCCTCCTCCGTCTTGTTGAGGCTGTTCTACGACCTGCTGCATCTGATCTGAACCATCTACTACAGCAGGCTGTGTGTCTGAAACTGTGTCTGTCTGTGTGTCTGTCTGTGTGTCTGCACTTTCCTTCTCAAAGTCCCAGGATGGGTTAGAGATGGCCGAACTTGCGGTTGCTGGCCAGGGAGACGACGAGGGGATGTCAGTGCTGTATGAGGGGGCACTTCTCACTGAAATACCAATCATTGGTTCAATCACCAACATATAATGAGATATTGCAATGGCACTAATGTGCCTGGCAGGCCACTACTGACTACCAATTGCAATGGCACTGATGTGCCTGGCAGGCCACTACTGACTACCAATTGCAATGGGAACTTTTATTTTCACTGAAATTCGTAGTCGTACCAGAGTATTCAATTATTAGTACTACCGAAAAAGATTAGATGTCGTTCCCACAATGTGTTTCATATTTTCGTTACTGTAAGTGAAACGGGAAGTGCAAGGTAAATGTATTCATAGAATTTAAATTACCTGAGTACAAGCTGAATAGCAGTATCACAGGGACAAGCCTCGACATCTCCAACCTTCAATAAACCAAGTTAACAAAATAATAACCCAAACATATTTAACCAAATCGACAAAAACACAGCCCAAAAAGCTTTCATACCAAACATTAACAAGCTATGCAAAGTCACTTTCGAGTCCAAAGATATACGTTTTCTATTAGAACTCAAATTAACATTATATTAACAACCGGCTGGGCGGCTGGATTCAATTTTCATCTACCTAATTGAACCTAATTATTTGGCGGAATGCAGATATCAAATTCAAATGGATGGACATCAGCGCTCACGTAGTTGAAATATCCGAATAAATAAAGTCCGACATGGTCAAACAGTAAATTTAACTGATGTAAGTTTGTCCCAACTGTGTAGATGAATTACCAGCTCCAATTAGAACAGAACAGGTGCCTTTAAACGCACACCTCTATAAGCGTACAATAACTACTAGCTCACACGTTGTTTTCATAAACAAAGGCTTGCAACATGTCATACATGTCAGAACAATTGGACCATTTACGTAGTTTTCACGCGAAGTGATATATAATACAACTTGTTATAATTAGTAACGTTCACACTTTGCACTTTTTTACCTTGTCGGACTTTATTTAAACGGAAATTAAAATGAACGGAAGGGCCTCCGTTCAAATAAAGTCGGATAACGGATAAGGTAGTAAATATCACACTCTGTACTCGTGTTATTGGCATAACAAGTAGTGGTCTCGAGATCAAGACGCTGCAACGGATGGAGAATAGTACTATCAGATATACAGGCTGATACCTGTCAAATTATCCTATATATGCTTAAGCACTTGCGGTGACTTGACGTGACAAATGTTCTAATTCTCGACCACTGTTCCGGCTATAGTATGATATACTTATTTAAATAAGCAAGACGCAAGCTTCAACCAATACCATTACCGGGTGATCACTTTCAGGAATATGAACTAAGGTTGCAGGTTCATAAATTCTGGTAACAACGTTCGTGAATGCGCAAGGAAAACAGAGCTCGGGAGGCATGCTGGAATAAAAATAACTACCTGCATCAGGCAAGGGGAACAATCACGATACGTTGGTAAAATAGAATACAGCATCTCCTTTTATGGTATAATCCAGTTCAAACAACAACGAATTTAACCAAGACATTTATTCTATCGTGATGGTGAAGAATGGTATCTAATATTTCCCGTACGTGCAACAACTCTCGTCCACCATTCTGGGACCCGAGTATACTGGCTCTAGAACAGCTAGCTCTAGTACCTAATGTGTGATCCCATTAGTTTCAGTATCATGCTGCTTCGGCCGCTACTTTACTTTTTCGTAACACGTGGATGGAGTCGAAAACATCTTAGTATTTTGTGAGTGGAGTGCTTTCACATACCACAACACTATTGCCATACCTTCACAATAGTGTTGAAGTGCTGGCGGATCAGGAGATAGGTGGGCTCTATAAAGAGTACTGCACAATCACTTATCACGTCAATCATATCACATATGGTGTTCCACCAATCACAGAAAGCAACATGTAGTGAAACTATCAAAGTGCTACAAAGACGCCAGCGGTGCAAGAACTTTAAAAGAAGTCCACGGGATCAGATAAATCATAAACTAAAATTGTCTTATATCAATATCATAAAAATAAAATTTATCCGATTAAATTAAAGAAGTTTAAGATCTAAGAGATAAATTATTAATTAATCCCAAGTTCCCAGAGACACTGAAACATGGAAGGGTGGAACTGGAAGTCGTTCAGCAGTTTCCGTGCGCTAATTTGATGCTGACGTTGCTCTTATAATATTACTTATTTGTAAACAGCTTAATGCATTAACTCAGTAAGAAAACAGGTAAAGATACGCTAAAGGCCGGTCAGTATTATAATATTAAATGGTTTTTACGTAGTAAAGTAGTAATGCTACGTGGTAATAAATCGTTTGCGTTTCAACTAAAAATTCAATATTAGATGCTTTAACTCGAAAATTGAAGGGATGGTCACTTGGACTTGGGACGGCGGCTTTGCATACATACTCCCAGTCAGATGGAAGTACGAACATCACTAATAGATCGAGGAGTTTCAAGGGCTGTGAATTTAACATTTGACATGAGATTATTTAAGTTTCATTACTTTTAACGAATCTCGATTCGTTCAATGGTAAAGCATTTAACCATTGCAAACGAATTATTGTTATTATTTACCAGTCAACCTGATGGAACGTAAATGGCCTCATGATTGTACCTCCAAACCATTAATGAATCATATCGGTATTAAAACTAATACGAGATAATCAGACAAATGAATAGCAGGGCCTGGGATCACGTCCACCAAGTCAGATCATTTAAACCATTGCAGAAATAGCAACATGAACAATCATTTCAAAATGGACACAAATTAAAGGAATATCGAACCTAAAACTATCAAATACAATTTAATACAATATGCTTTTATACAAATATTAATAAATGCAATTCCTGCATTGCCAAGTAAAGTGTTATTTTAGGTTGCCAGAGTGTAAGTGGGTCAGAGTGTAAGTGTACTACAACTCTGAACCTGAAACTCCCCTGATTTGAGTGACTGCACTGCAGGTAAAAACTAAAAGTTTGTACAATGTATAACAAGTTACCGCAGGTGGGTATGGGTAAATCGAAGAAGTAAATTAAATAGTGTGATCTCATCACATTTAATGTCACCCTACCCAGTTACTCTTCTCCCATTGGCTCCCACACTCACGTGGGCCACATTGCGGGACTCTCATTGGTTGGTGAGTGTCACGTGACCATGGCGACGCGTATGTTAATGTACTGGACACATTGCCCCATGAGATGTATCCTCCTGCCGTGTACAATAGTCGACACTACATGTGCTATCGTGGGACTATGGTACGACTAGGCTTCTGGTACGGACAATGCAGTAAAATGCGATAATATTTGATGGCACAAGGCCAAGATCAAGAAAATCGCAGATAAACGTTTGATTATAGCTGAAATGATATGCATTAATTGTGATCAGTAAGTTTGTTGCCCCATTGCATGTGCACTGCGCGGCCACTTCACAGCACAGCGAATAACCACGAACAAAAATTAGGTATTGCAACGTGAGACAATGAGTTTGTATACAGTTACAAATGTATATCGAAATCACGAACAAAATATTGCAGAGTTTAATAAATTAAAATTGACGTTTAAATTGAGACATGCTGATGTATATAATTGAGTACATTATATGAGTATGACTATGAGCATCCTCATAGGGTCACATTCACAAACTCATGACCCAGGATCACATGAAAGTTTTAAACATGTGTTTTATCGTATCACTTTCAATGTATTACCATCTTAAAAATAATTTAATAATAAACCGACCGTAATATTAACTCAATAATCAATCGATCGTGTTTACTTAGGTATAGTTATTGTCCTAATTGAACTACATAACAAGGGAGTTACAGATGTAAATCTGCAAAACATGATTAGAGAAACCCGAGAGTATGAATAGTGAATGGCACTGCTACTAATTATACATATGCAGTTGTATAAAGTCACTACAAAAATTATTACTACATATATAGGTGTAGGTTATGATTGGCAAAGAAAGATTTTAAAAAAACTTAACCTTGCAGTTGAAGGGATCAGCGACCGACGGCCGGATATTCATATTTGCGTTCATATCATTCATTTCATCATATTGATCATTAAAGCTTTAAAGGTAGCACTGACATGAATTGTATCCATTTCACCCTATATTTTCGGTAGCCTGCTAAGTAAATAAATATAAAGAAATGTATCGTCAATAATCATGTCAGATATTTTGGTCTTAGAATGGGAGCACAACGCTGGTAGAACGCCGGTAGAACGCCGGTAGAGCGCCGGTAGAGCGCCGGTCTAACCATAGTATTGCCTTCGAGCTGTTTTAACTGTGTTTTGTTTTATCTTGCGTTGTCATAACTTCTCTTCTGATCAGTATTTTCCAGTCACTTCAGTACCGGAAAATATTTGTGAAGGTATTTATCATAAACGTCCTTATCCTCGTTTTCAAAACGACACAGAATTATGATATCCACGTCATTTTTCTTTTCTCTATCTTCTAACCAAGCTCTTATAGATCCCAACGCAACCCTGAAATATACGTTGTTAAGCTGAGAGAAAAATTATGGAGACTGTTTATCATCTCATGACAATCAAATAAAATGATAGCCGAGATAATATAATATAAATATATACTATATAGATATAATAATATAAATGGCTTCTGGATTTGGATTTCGGGTTCTTTGGCCCATTTATATTACATTCGACGGTAAAAATTGCTTTGATTTATGCTTTGATTAACAATAAAAGTTTAAGTTAACAACAAAACTAATTAATATTTATATACTACAGTAAGTGGCTTATAATTGTGGCACTTACTCAGCGGCAGCTTTCTTTGATATTCTAAGAGTCTGAGAGCCCAGAGCAGGAAATGCGATAGATTTATATCCCTTCTCACGTAGGTGATCAAGACAGTTAACATAACATGACCTCAATATAAACTGTGCTTCTTTAGCCTTGAATGTGGTCGGTATAACTACATGAAGCACATGTTCGGCGGGGAGGTCGTATCCTCCTGTTTCAATCACGTCTGCGTCCTGGTTATAGAATTACGATTTGTTTGAATGATAGATTATCTGACTATCCTGCTATGACAGTTGTTGATTGTGGGAAGGAACAATTAGCTTCCAACTAAAGACTGTACAATCACGGCAAACGTTAAAAGCCTACTGAATTAGTATAGATAGTATAGATGATACATTTATAATCTATATGGCATTAAACTAAGATATCAATAAGCACAGAATTAAGGATGCCTATCTGAAGCTTATATTTTTATACGATTGCCAACCTCACAAGGACCGTGTTTCTTAGATTCTGTTTTAGCTTCCTTTATTATTCCTTCCCCCGCTAACTTTGCAACGAGTCCTTGTTCTGGGATATAGATTACAAATTGATAAGCTGCTTACTAAATCAGTATGCATTTTCTAATTGTAATGCTATAAAGGGTCTCAAAAAGAAGGTTGGCTTTTCAATTTACCCTCAAATATACTGTCCTTTTAATATCGATTCGAAATTAATATAAAATTGAATATGTTTGTGACATTTAAAAACCAAGGCTCACCTTGCATACTGATTTTCTTGTTTGCAGATATAACGACAGCTTCACATTCAAGATCTGTAACACTTCCATCGTAAATGAAAATCTTTTTGTTGATTTTCTTATCCACGGGATACTCCCTCTTCTCAAATACAGGAATATCTCCTAGATATCATACGTAAACATACCGCCCAATCAACCCAAATACAGGAATATCTCCTAGAAATCATACGTAAACATACCGCCCAATCAACCCAAATTGAACTAAAAATGACATTAGTTTCAGACTTTTGTCCATTAATACTAAATATCAAAATTTTCCCGGCATAAAAGGGTCACAAATACAAATATAAACTGGTTTTGCAGATATTATAACAATATCAAACTCAAAGCCTAGCACCTGCAGCAGCAAAGTGCACCCAATGCATTATATCAGTGTTACAATTCGGACACACTGTCTCTACCGCCCTGCGTCCTTTGGAATCTCCCCTCTTCCCTTCATCATTTGACATCGTGTGCTTCATAGGAAATTCAGTGACAATTAGGTTGGGACGCAAAATGAGACTCATGAATAAAACTTTGTATGGCAGGTAGAAAACCCTGTGAAAATACGTTTATGGATGATAAGTGTGTTCTTATTTGAAAATGGACACCAACCACTTTCATATTAGATTTAGAATAATTAGATAAACTTCATGCGTATTTAATAAGCCGCAGGTTCACAATTGTTAACAATATGTCGATTTTATAGATCTCTATATTTGTAATAGTAAAATTATAATATATCTAGTTTATGTTTGTTATATAAGAAAAATGACAAAAAGAAAAACTGCATTGGTGCAATTACAGAAGGCCAAAATGCCGTCCAGTCCACATATAAAACTGTCGTTATTGACTAGTGACTAGTAGTAGTAGTGACTAGCTTTATCAGATTTGGATGCTTCATATCATATCAGTGGTTTGTTGCATGAAAATGATATATTTTTCATCAATACTTTATTTTTCTTCTTACAGTATTACATTATCGGAATTCATTTGGGCAGACATTATGTGGAGTGTGGACAGACATTTTGTCGGACATAAATATTAAATATGGACGCAAAATTGGCCACGTAATGTCCGACCTGATAAAGTCCGATAAAATAAGTCCTCCCTTTCGTAGATCCTACTTCTTCTTCTTTTTATTCGTCGTAGTCTTCTTTAATTGCGTTACCTTGAACAGTGACATTAGGGGAATACGCTGATGTGAATCTAAAACTTAAAATGATAGATTTATTTCAAGAGAAGACATGGTAAAATGTTTTATTTCACCTTTGGTGGATCAGTTGGAAACCATTTATGTAACAACCGATCAAGGGCATTTATATCCCGATCTATCCATCTACATAAGATTATTGTCGTTACTCTTTTAGCGTTGGGAATCCCATCTACTATTGTATCCATCCATCTTCTCAGGGTGCGTAATTGCACACTGAAATTATTTTTAATTTAAAACAGGAAGTTTCATAATTTGGAATGTGCCATATAGATAATAATTACGACTTGTCTGCAGGTTGAGGTAACGGTCACAAGATGAGATATAATAAACAACCACTCGGTGTGAAGAGGCCACCAGTATATAATGAAAATTGTTTAAATGTGGTCGTTATTTACAAATCATTGGCGGAAATAAACCTAATCGGGCTTAGTGCTGAAGCTTGGAGATGCTTACATTGATTATAACTTTATGAATCTTCAGATCAAGCTCTATTAGGTCGGGAAACATATGCTAGAATTTGCGGGGAAATTTACAAACGATTTGAAAATGTATGCTTACTTGACGCAACTGTCTTTCAAGGTTTGGGTTGTAGCTCCAGATCCTAGGCAAGGCATTGCTATTGACTTGTAACCATGCTTCACCAAGGTATTGAGGATGTTGAGATAACATTGTTCCAGTTGTTCAAATTCCGTGGTTGTGTGACAGGTCGGGGGTACCACAATATGAAATACATTATAACTTGGCAGCTCGAATCCTTCTGTCTCAACCAGCTCTGTTACCTGAAAATCACCGCGATGAAGTTTATATATTAGGACGCAATGAAACTACCGGACCACGATATATGGGGACTTGCCACCCCATGGCAACATTAAAATATATCGACTCTGTCTCTGTTACATTGTTCCCTGTTAATATAAAACTCCGTTACAAAATGAACTGGGATCTGGCAATACTACACCTTAGTTCGATAAAATATGATAAAGTAATGTAAATATAAAGTAATGTAAATATAAAGTAATGTAAATATAAAACTGACGTTCAAAAACTCTACTTTAATCTAAAATTGCTACAGGACAATAATTGATGTTTTAAGTAGAAAACAGAAACATTCCGCAATTGTTGCACAATCGTTAATCGGATGATTAATCGCTTTCAGTTTTCCTAATTACGAAACGTAAACAGAATACGGCGAGTTGATTAATTGCTTGTACGGCTTGGCATGCACCCCCTCAACCGATGAAATGATGGGTCGGGCAGCGACTGACAACGAATTGCAGAATGTACGGAATGGCCGAAAGTAAAAACTAATTATTGACCAATTAACAATTTTTTTTCAATTCCATGACTAAACGTGGAAAACACCAAATCTGTTTTACTTTTAGGTCTTACGAACGGATTGGTTCTAAAAATAGTTATTGCCGTTTTAACCATTAAAAGTCTAACAGTAACATTGCAAATTTAATATTTTCAAATCTCTGCTTGCAAATTTGCGGTTTAATCAAGCACACAATTTGGAGCATAAAAATCGTACCGATGTGCTACTATTTATCGGGAAAATTAAATAGTTTTCCTCACTTGTTTTGGTCCAAGTTGTCTGGCAGTTCTGCTTAACTCAGGACCTGCCTGATAATAAACAGCCTTCATGCCTGTGGGAGCGATGCTTTTAGAACAACTCAGCGTGATGACGTCACATTCTAGTTCAGATATACTGCCGTCGTGGATGAAGATTCTCTTGTTAACTTTGAAGTCAGGTACGGCATCATCTAGACCGGGAGGAAAGGATGGGATCTCCCCTGCCAGTATAAGTGCGGTTAGATTTGATGTAAGTGATGTGTACTATTTATTGGTACAAATGAGAATTACAACTATAAAATTAGTTAACTAGTTAATAACAACTACACTTACCATTGGCATTATATCGATTATGGTACTGATTTGCTCACTGTATTATATCATCACAAAATAGTATTAGTACACCGTAGACAATTATATTGTCTATAAAAACTATTCAACTTTATGTTCATGTAGAGAAATCATACACGTATTTCAAAGTATTAAAGATAATGAATAATGATAATACAAGTTAACTTCATGTTCAGTCATGAGCTGTCTGGCCCAGTTCTTTCTGGAGACACTCCAGGAACTTCCAGATTGTTAAATTGGAACATGAGGGGAGCATGCTGTTGAACCTGTAGTGGCGTAGTGCTATTCCTTTGCTATGTTGCTGGATCGTGGAAGGAGAAGAGCTGTAGTGTTGTGTTGATTCCATCTATAATTGTGAGCGAATATAGGATTTCGGTAGGAGGGTCCAAGCCCCAAGTGTACTCGTAGTTACAATGACAAGGAATCATGTAATGCATAATTTTGACAATAACGAGTTTTTCTGTTGCCCCTAGGGTCGGCTGTCTCCGTGCCACACGAGATCATTACAGAGTGCCATGGTTTGAAACATAGGCAGTCGAGATCTCTAAGTCTAATTGAGGCGGCCATAAATAAAACCTACAAACAAAGTAGAGGACTTAGATAAGAAAGACCGAGCCTCAAAAGCAAAAACTCGCCCTATAGTTAAAAAGCTGTGGCAGTATTTCAGTAAAAGTGGACGAACCTGCAGCAGCGTAGTGAACCCAGTGCATCACCTCCGACTCACATTTACCACAAACTGATTTTAGAGTTCTGCGCTTCTCATTACCGTCTCCTACACCCATAACCGCACTTTTTACTTGGTAGCACTAATTGAACTTGTGTTTTCATCATAGACTTATGTTTCAAAACGTTTTATAAATTGTAATAGTGAGTCAGCAGTAAGCGCATGACAAGAGCATGCAGGACGCTCTACTAGAGACTATCAGCTTTAATTTCATCAGTTCTTTTAGTTTCACTAGTTCAATACAACTGCAAATGCACAACTGTAAATAAATTCAAAATCACAGCACAAATCTGAAATCAACAGAAATGACGAATCTATAGTGTACAAAGCTAAGTTATAGTTTCGTTTTGTTCAATGTATACTACTGTGTACTGTTGCAACTTGCATGTTAAATTACCTCAGATTATCATGGACGCGATGTTATTGGCAATCTTCTATCCGTTATAGTTGTACGGAATTAAGGTTTATTACTGTTAGAATTAGATATCAGCAGGTAAAATGAAACAATAAGGTAAGTTATAGAACTCCTGACCAAACGAGTGCCGAAGGCACGATTTTTGTCAGGAGTTCTATAAATTGCTTATGGTACGGCACAAGACAACAGTCTTGGGAACATTTTCCGACAAAAATTTTGAAATTTGGTGCCTTTTAACCGTGTCAAATTGGCAAAAAACTGTAACTTCTTCCGACACAAAGTGTTCATTGTCCAATGTCCAATGAGCATCCTGCCATGCTGCTACCATCGTGTTACTCTCGTGGTGCCACATGACAGCTTACCTAACTGCTATTGGACAGCGCACGTTTGTCACGTGACGATTTGATTATTGATACTTATTGAGAACTGTATTTCATAGATCACATTTATTGAGTACAGTACTGAATAAATGTTAAATTCCTGTTAAATTCCTTTATGAAAGTAATTCCTTAGCGATAGATACTCCTCTAATTTCCAACGATTACAGTGACATTTCAAGCTTGACTCAACCCTTGCTGTTCTCTCAAACAGTCAAACTATTAGGATGTGAATTGTGAATCTAATTTTGCTTGAGCATGAAATCCAGCCCTTCTCGCTGGCTAATATAGATCACGTTATCTATCAGCTGACTGTACCTCGTGACTGCGTCACTCGGTTACCACGTGCCCGACAAACTGGTGCCGTACCATAACAGTGTTTATTTCTGATGCTGGGAGCACTGGAAGAAAGGTGCAACTACAAGAGTATCATCAGTTTCATTACACGGCTGATCTCTATAAATTGAAGCTGATAAAATATTCAAGATCCCAATGATACTGTGAAGTAATCAGTTATAGACATCATAAAACAAAGTAATTATATACATAATTATATTATGATTTATGATTATATAAATAAAAAAGCAACAGATTGAGAGGGAGAGCAAAGTAAGAAAACATGAATATAGAGTGTGTATGAGAAATCATGATCTGATTCAATAAGTGACACTGTTGTTGCTATGACAACGAATGTTGATGTAGGGGTATCCAATATTTCCATAATTAACGGTTAGAAAAGTAAAAGTAGGACACTCTTTGGTTTATCCTTATCAGTGCATTCGTGAGTTACTGTTGTTGGGATGAAGCTGTATTTTTTTTGGAGGGGGGGGGGGGGGGTTTGGGTGGGGGTGGCCACCTGAGTTTTGGGAGTGCTCAACATGCCTCATGTCCACATTTTCACTCCGCTACCTATTTCATGGTAGCAGAGGTCCACTATTATCAGTGCAGATCTCAAGAGAAGATGCACACATGGTACAGACTTCACCTTTTTTCAATAGTTTGAGGCTGATCTATAGATTCCTTCTCTATATAGTGACAGCACAATTTAGTGGCAAGCATCCTATAATGACTTGCCATTTTATGGTGTTTTAACTATATACAACACAACAACATATATTGGCACGTGTCATAGCTCTGTTATTATACTGGCTTTAAAATGTCGCTAAACATAATGTGCAATGTTTAACGCAAATTATACTGGTATGATCAAAGTTCGGAATTCATGAGAAACTTGAAGTTGACGTACGATACAGGGGAATTACTCAATAACAGTGTTTGGTTCGATTGGGGTTTCAATTGTTTGTTTTTTGGATACGTTAAATACATTCTATGGACAGTGATCATAAAAGGGAATGAAATAAATTTTGGTAGATTGGAATCAACCAAACGATTGGCTGATGAGGCAACTTCAGAAATGTAAAACAACAGGAGACTGCACAGCACCGAAAGAATGCTTCAGATTGTGAAATATTGTCTGTATTTATTTTGTACTTTGAATAACACATTGATAAAAACGCAGCATTGCAATTAGGACAAGAACTTCAGAAAACTATTTTATATCCACATCACAACTGTCAAGATAAATAAAAATCGTTCCCAATCATTCATATATGAAACCCTTCTGTCATTTTCATAAAATAAATAATACTAAATAACTGATGATTTCTCCTGTATACTGCAGCTATTACATTACATTTCATAGGTTTTCGTTGCTATTTGAGTTTTCAAAAGCTCTCTACCTGCTTCAAAAAAAGCCATCTATATATTTCGATGCATGCGATAATAATGCAACTAATTTCTATTCAATGTAATGTATTTATAATCAATATCGATAGCAGGACGTATTCAACAAAATCTATGAGTTTTAGTAGTGGAACAGCAATACTAAGGTAATGGGACTACTACGATCAGACTTCATTATAAAATCTATGAGTCTCTAAACTCTGATTAAAACTTGTACAATTTGATAAATATATTATAAAAACAAAATTATCAGAACTTATTTAACGAATTTTTAACGAATTTTCAATCTAGCACTAGCGTTTTCTAACGTTCCTTGAAGTCGAATTTTTTAATACAAGCTTCCATTCACAGGATAGCCAGTTACCTGGCAACGCCCGCTCGTGATGCTTCTCCAAGCTCACACAAGTGTCAGCAAGGAGGAAGATATTCATGTATTTCTGCACGAGGAGCCCATCACAGCTACCAACAATTAATTTGTTTCCAAGGCTTAGGCCGCGTACCATTTTGTGCTAAGCAACACCATGGTTTGGTAATTGATCATTCTTTGAAGTTGACTTGTATTCTAAATCATCTGTGAATTCTTAATTTCTCTCAAAAGTACAATTTCAACTCTGATTGTGACAACAATTCCCAATTCTCGACGATAAACTGCAAAATTTTAGCTGAAAACGAATCCCTTGGAGCCGTAGCGGATAGCTATTAACAATTGTTTCTTCATGATCTCCTGAGAAGAGTACGGAGGTAAGGACAGTTGGTTAAAACAGGTGGCAGCAGTAGGTAGGCTAGTGTCCATCTCACCATAACCAGAGACCAGGGTAAACCTGTAAGTTCGAGAGAGTTTACACGAGGAAACTATTGTTGATTATAAATTACCATGTGACTGATAATATATATCACTTTATTTGTGATCGATTGTAAAAATTAACTAGATAAAACTTAGAGAATCGACAAAAGTTTCGTAAGAAAGTGATACAAAAAGATCGATCTTAATATCAGTAAATAACACGTACTTCTTGGAGAGATAAGCGAAACCACCAGAGGGGAGGCTCGACAATCCAGTAGCAAAATGTAGCAGAGATTGTCTATCCTCAGCGCTGAAACTCTCGACACATCTCCAGAAATTTGTCTTAGTTTCCTGTAAACAGATCTCGTGAGAATGTTGCAGACCTGGTGATACAGGTGGCACGTGATTGTTTTGACATGTTGCAGTGGTTCGGGGTTATAATTGGTCAATGCTGGACGCTGATTGGTTAATCACTGCAACGTGTCAGAAACAAATAGGGTTCATCTTCCCACCAGCACCCATAAAACTTAAATTATGTGTGTGACACGTGTAGTGCACACGTGCCGGGTAGTGCACACGTGCCGGGTAGTGCACACGTGCCGGGTAGTGCACACGTGCCGGGTAGTGCACACGTGCCGGGTAGTGCACACGTGCCGGGTAGTGCACACGTGCTGGGTAGTGCACACGTGCCGGGTAGTGCACACGTGCTGGGTAGTGCACACGTGCTGGGTAGTGCACACGTGCCGGTTAGTGTACACGTGCCTCAGATCATAATCATACGATAATTCCAGCTAGCACTCTCTTATTTCCATTAATTGCCCAGGGTTCAGATTGAAAACTGCTGGAAATTTGTCTACCTGTGTAATCCTTTCGTGATTAGTATTATTCATCCAATCAGTTAGGTTCAATGTTAGCTCCCCACAAATAAGTGCACCCAATTCTCTAGCAGTAAGTAGTTCCTTAAATTTGGATGGGAATATCCTGTCGAATCCCGCCTTTAGCTCTTTCAGCTCCAGGTTTGGAAAATCGTAAAGAGCCCTCCCTTTTAGTACCATATAACTGAAAAAAAAAAAGTTGATTGAGTAAAAACAATTTCGGATTAAAATAGTGGAATAATAAGTAAAGTAAAGGTTATATATATATATATGTCTGAAAGGTTACATATTATTGATACTGATAGTTGGATAATATCCGGTTGTATATTATATGTCTGAAAAGATTAAATTCCTCTTCAAACGTTAAATTACCGATTCTTATCAGTTTCAAATTCTCCGGTGTTGACAGTGGATAGTGGAACTACGATAGCTTCCTTGGTAAAGGGATCCATAATGGTTTCAAAAAGTTCAAGCTCCAACTCACGAAAATCCTGGTAAGGATCATAGTTATCATCAAATAGTGGTTCAGATAATTTTCAGTGGTATTCGTCAATAAAAAGCTGATATTTGAAGTGCAGATCTGAATACTTGTGGGGAGGGAACAACATATTTTTCAAGTGACAGTGATTAATTAATAAGCGACCAGAATTGACCAATTATAACCGAACGTCATAGTCACGTGCCAAAAGAAATATGGTTCACCTCCTCACCAGTCTCCAGATCTATAAATTGTCAATCATGTTCCACAGTACCTTAGGTTCTACTTCGTTGATTGAATTAAATAAGCTTTTATCGGTTCTTTCCAGATCAAGCAGCACGTTTTTTCGTTCATTTAACACAAATTTGTAAATGTATTCGGCTAAGTTGAGGCCCAAGGGTACGTTGTTCAGTACTGCTCTAGCCAACATCTGTCCCACTAAATTATACCTGACGGGAATTCTGTTAGATTTCTGGGAATGAGAATTTAGAATTCGCATATCCAGATATTTTTCAAGAAGATGATAAAACGAAAGATTTTTCTAATTTTGAAATTTGAAACTTGGAACCGATAACTGTTAGAGACATAGAAGATATTTAGTCTAGTTTTATAGATTATCTTAGGGTTATCAATAATTTACATCGCTGAGCAATGAGCGTTTGTTTATTTATTTAATTTAGTTTTTGATTCCAAATAAAATATGATATAGAATGATAACAATGTTGACATTGAGCTTGATTTCGTGAAGCGGTAATGCCCCTTGTCGCCAAACGTCGAGGGAAAATAAAATAAAGTTGATATCGATTTGGACTGGTAAGAAATTAAACTTACAAGACTTTAAACTGAGCATAGTTTTGCTTGTTGTTGATGTTCTTGTAAAGGAGAAGTAAGCAAGTAAACTTCAAGAATCCATCCTCATTTGACTTGAACAAGTGATTATCTACAACACTTTGACTAAACAGCTGATAGAACTCCTTCGTTGGGCCTGAAATACGATCAAATTAAAATAAGGGGATTACAACTACAAGATGTAGAGATGTTGCTCATTCAGGGAAACAGTTCCTGTTAGTGTTAGGGTTAAGGTTATGGTTAGGGTTATTGTTAAGGTTAGGGTTAGGGTTAGGGTTAGGGTTAGGGTTAGCGTTAGGGTTAGGGTTAGGGTTAGGGTTAGGGTTAGGGTTTGGGTTAGGGTTCACCATACAAATTTCTACCCTAAAGTGCACCCTAAATGGTCGGGTTTCTTAAAATTTACCAACATCATGCTCGAAAAGCATCACATTAACACTAACCTGGCCCACCTGCGGGCTCGTTTCTGAAGGTAGCTGATATACTTGTTCTCCCTTCAATTTTATGTCTCTGAGAAAGTACATCTTGCAGTAGATCGTCTCGCCGGATCTCTCTTAGGGCTCCAAAATTCATGAAAGAACAGCGAGACCTAATATATCTGACCTTAACACCTGAGGAGATAAATCAATTGTCAAATGGCTGGATGCAACCCGATTTCGTCCTAAATATCCGCTTTGAAAGTTTTTTAAAATTTTTGCCTTTTCGTTACAGCAAAACGAGCATCCATGAATCATTAACTGATGAATAATTTGATCAGCGATTAACTTATTTCTCAAACCTGTGGATACAAGACCAGGGTACTGCATCAGTTCCTCCAAAATAAAATCGGACAGAGTTCGATCATCAATGCTCGTAACAAGGTCATTCAACAAGTGTCGTAGTTGGTCGCTTTCAGCCACATGTGTGATTAATTTCTGTATCATACCGAAGTTCTTCTCTTTTTTCTTTCGATCTCTTTTTCTGTACCTAAACAATAAATTCTGATAATCTATTTTCTGCACACTGAGATACTGCATAATAAAATTGCCTCGAAATTTTCAGAATTTAAAAATTCAGCTTCAAAATCATCTCTTTTAAATGAGACTCACGTTTTATGTCTAAGACTACTGATGACATTCAGCAGCTTTTTAGATTCGTTGTTCTGAGACAGATTTATAGACAGCATCATGTCTACAGTCTCCCAGTGATCATGGAAAACTGCGTTCATCACTGGAGTCCATCCTGAATCCGAACTAAAAATTGTTATTGTAAATCAGAAAGATCGAAGGAAGCATTAAAAATGTTGATAATGAATACGCTATAAATTCACTGTACTACCAAATAAATTAATGACAATTCCAACAGTTAATAATTGATGTCAAACATTTGTTAACAGAGTTCATAAAATAATAAACAATCACCCATGGATTTCTGAGAGAGTTTGTCCTTCTTTACGAAGGATTATTTCAGCACACCTCGTGTGACCATGTGCAGCCGCTATATGAAGTGCAGTTCCATCTTCTGAAGGTGTTAATGGATTTGCTCCTTCTTCAAGAAGAAACTTTACGGCGGCTGGCAGATCTGAGACAAATAAGTACGGGTTCAAATAAAATAATGTTTGAAAGCAGAATAGATTTCACATTTGTTATTACCTTACAAGACATATTTATAACGTACGAAATGTGGCGGTTTTCCGAAAATTTCGCCATATTTTCGGACCGCCAAAATTTCGGTCACCGTAATAGAATCCGTCGCATTATCTTTTAGCTTATTTCAATGACTGTGCCTTCACTGCTTTATTTTGTTTCTAAAAAGTAATATCAAGTAAAATAAATAAATAAATTCTGGCATCTTGGGACAAATTATCACCACACCAATGACGAATTGAATGTCAAGCAATACAGTTTAAATTTGCATTAAAATACATGTGTGTGCTAACATGAAAGTCTTACAGTCTTAATACAGACTAAGTTTGAACATGATTTTACCGAATTTCAGAAATTTCCTTACTGCTTACTGTCACAAAAAATGATGAAAAATACCCTTATTTTCTGTGACGTCCGAAATTTGACGGTTTTTGTTCAATTTCGCCATATTTTCGGACCGCCAAAATTTCGGTCGTCGCAAATTAGGCCGCCATAAATATGTCTTGTAAGGTACATTAATTTTCATCAAGGGTACGATTATAATCTATAATATTATGATTAATTATTTTAATATTATGATTAATTATTCTGCTAGGTCCCATTTCTCACCATACTGCGCGCCTCGCATCAGTGGAGTCAAGGCAAAGTCATCTTTGTCATCTTTATGGGGTTTTTCAATAACCTCTTCCTTATTAAAACAATCAAGCACCGTTGTCAGGAACATCCTGCAGAAATCCTCATCCTCGCTCCACCTGAAAGAATAGGCAGTTACATTGCTGCCATCTGATATTCTGTTGCTACCAATTACCATGTCTGGTAGTACTTGGATATGAGATTTGCCCGAATTTTAAAGGGTGCTTATCAGTCCACTTTTAAATTCTTACTCCATAAGAACATACTACACATATTATAATAGTTCGGAACTGCATTTACCTATCGGATTGTTGCAAACATTTTGAGATAATCATGGAAGGAGCATAACATTCAGAGGGTAGTTCCAAGCTGACTAAGTGCTTTAGGGCCATTGTGTTTAAATTCTCGCCAATCGTTCCTGAAATGGAAAACCTTACAACATTTTGGTTATATAATATCAATATGAGTAATGAATATTGGCGCATGATCTATCCACTCAAGATATATGACGGATAAGCAAGTCAAACTAATTACATTACATACCGAAAACCCGTCTAATTCCTTCATTTTTTTGTAAAACCCTCTCCATAAAAGATGTTTCGTCCCATAGTCCGGACGCAACTTCTTCTTGCCAGTCCCCCAGGGCCTTTAAACAGCTTATATCCCCTTTTACGAGGTCCCGAGCGCACCTTTAATTTTACAAATTTTTAATAGCGCTATAAAGTTAATCTAAAGTTAATCTTAAGTTAATCTAAAGTTAATCTAAAGTTAATCTAAAGTTAATCTAAAGTTAATCTAAAGTTAATCTAAAGTTAATCTAAAGTTCATTAATTAACGGCAGATAGGTGATATTCAATTCAACAATAAACCGCAGGGAATAATTCTTTTAAGCAGTCATAGTCTGTGATGGCAGGGATAATATTCTGATCTTATCAAAATCCTTAAATTCCTAGTTTGTTTTCTAACATTGAATTTTTTTAACATTGAATGAAATGTTAGTCAAATACCATCCGGTAATCTCCGAGCAAATCTTTTTGGGTTTCCTTCTCATTTCCATCATGATAGGTGGCAGATTATCAGCTCTTCCAGCTTTTATAGCATGAGTTAAAGGTCTTCCAACTTTAGCCTGATCCGCCTCAAATACATCAAATCCTGATCATTGAAACCTGTCAGTGTCGTAATCTGAATCTGTTATTATATCCGCGAATTCAAGTGCATTGAAGCAATCAGCCGGCAAAATCTAGTATAAAATTTAAAACAGTTTACCGATTTAAAGAGTAACACGTACCAAACTTTTCGATAAGATAGCCAACAAGTTTGGGAGTACTGATAGCAGCAGCTTCACAGAGAAGATCTGGGTAATTATCTGGAGACGTATCTTTAGGGAGTTCATTTAGTTTTCCTTCCCTGGAAAACGGTCGGGTTTTTTTGTAAATTGGTTACTGAATAGTAAGCGCTTGATTTAACGATCAAAAGTTAGGTTTTAGAGACAACATTTGTTTTCTATGCTAGTAGTAAGAGTATCCGAACAAACCTTAATATCTGAACAAGTTTATCCTGTACTTCATCAAAATTTCGATCATCATCTTTCTCGTTATTTCCTTGATCACCGTCTACCTGATCGCTTTCATCTCTGTCCTTGCTCCTGTCATCCCGATCATGTACGTCATCATGTACGTCATCATGTACGTCATTAAGGTTGATCTCAACCGTCCTGTCACCATTATTCTCACCTCCGTTTCCCATGTTCGAGGGCCCTGCCTCCTGGGAGTTGTGGAACCGACTAGGCTTACTGTTCACGGGGTCTTGTGTGCAAAAGTTTACAAAATCGTCTTTAGAATTTTCGGGTGATTTTTCTTCATCTGATGACGACGAATTACTTTCTTCCGTGTCTCTAGCTGACTCGCTCGAGGTAATGCTTATTGCCCTCTTCCCTCGCTTTGACATTGACGCCAATTTTTTTAGAGCCTTTGCAACCTTTGGGGATTGTCGAGATGGCCTTTTTCTACTAGATCGCCTAAGCGTTATATTCTTTTCCTCCTCATCATCATCGTGTTCACTTGGTGTGTTTGATTCTTTTCCATCCACAATAGTGTCTGAATCATCATCCGAAGATAAAATCTGTTTACGCTTGGGGTCAGTCTTCCTTACTCGCTCTCCACCGCTGTCAGGGTCGGACTCGTTGCTGCTGCTAGTGCTTGCGATGAAATTGTCGTCTAAAAAATCGTCAGTTCTACAGGTGTATCCACTTTCTCGGTAGTACGAACTAGTATTTCTGGGGTGAACATGTTTCATTTAAACAGCGAAAAATGTTAAATTGCAATTGTAAAAATTAAATAGATTTTTCAATCATGCCATTATATAAATCTGTTCATGAAAATTAAATGTAAGACTTAAGATCAAACTTACCGTGCGTACGGATTTTTGGTCATTTTAGGTGTTTCGTCTTGGAGGTATATCGGCATTCGTTTCGTTGGAGTATCTGAATGTTATATGCGTTATTTATTAAAATATTGAGATAAGCTATAATTTTGAATTTATTTGTCCAGATTCCTACTCACTCCCACCCTGTCGATAAAACTTTTGGAATCAGCACTTCCGCTCACTTCACTGAATTTGATAACCTTATTTAAAACGGACTTTGCTGTCACGTGACCTCCCAGCTGCGCTATGATTGGACGCTAGATAAACTTCAGTTCTTCTGCTGATATCTTCCTAAAACAAAACAAACCTCCATGTAACTGCATACCCTGCATAACATTGATTAAATCATTCAAAATTATACTGATATTTCTCTCCGTGAGCCCAGAACAGTTCTTGAACTTCAAAATAACACCTCCCAATTCTTAAACCAAGATACTTTTCTGTGTGTACACTCCGCTTTTTGTTTTCTCGTTTAAGCGTTTCCGGGCTGAAAAACACCCAGGAAAATGTTACTCCCTTATCTTCTCCTCTTAGTCATAGTATCGTATCCTGCTACTGTAGAGGCAAATAAGCAAAGAGCATTAAGATTTGGTCAAAGCACTGCCGACTATATAGAGTGGTCTCCGAACATGGCCCCTTTTACAAGGTAGTTCTCTGTCTGTACTTGGCTAAAGAAGAGACATCAGTCATCATATCCAATAGTTGTGAACTACCATCCTCCAGGTTACGAGATACAGTTTGGTGATAACGGTTATTATAACTACGTGGTAGGTTCTAATCTTGATGTACGGAGCAAATACAACGTGCCTGATGGAGAATGGTTTCACGTCTGCTGGTTGTGGAGTGCCTCTAGTTACACCACTACAGTCTACCTGAACGGAGAGATTATAGGATCTACAACTACTAATCAGAGGGAGCTGAGAACAGGAGGAACAATGTGTCTTGGTAACTGGGCTGTGCGTAAACATGCTCAACATACCTTCGGTGGTGACTTGTTCAAATTTAGTATATACAGTAGAGTTTTAACAGACACTGAAATCCGAAACATGGCCTCTGATATATGTTCTAACGAGGAGGAGAGTCTAAACTCAATAAGAAGTCTAAGGTGGGAAAGTATAATATTACTGGAGAGAAGTGGCTCTCTGACGGAGACAACAACTGGTTGTCCTTCTTCTGAAGAGATTGAAGCTGGAAGGCGGGCTACACTGCTGAGACTCATTGATGAAAGACTGAAGACATTTGAGATTAGGTTACAGATTACCGAGCAGGAGTTGGCAAGGACAAAGACTAATTTAGAACAATCTGATGCTAATTTAGAAAATGTGTCCGCAAAGCTAAAAAACTCTGAGCAAGATCTAGCAGAGACGAAGTCTACCCTGAAGGTATTTGAAGAGAAGTTAGGAAGTTTTAACTTCTCCCTCACAAGCACACAAAACGAGGTGTCCAACACCCAACTTGAGCTTACAGCGACAAAAACTAATCTCACACAGCAATTGGAAAGTGTCTCTGCGTCCCTGAACCATACCCAAGAGGAGCTGGAAGCAGCTACAAAGAACAAAGTCCGCAGCAAGTGGGACGTGCTTTTCTCGGACAGGTTTTTCAACAAGAAACTTACTAGGGAGATGTCTCCAGAGCTCAAATCAACATGGAATATTCTAGGTAATTTCTCTCTTTTTAGGTTGTCTATTGATCTTATGAAATTTTTCGTTTTCGAAGAATAGATATTTTTTGTATAGATTGCGTAATTTCTTAAAATCATGGCATAAATTTGATAACTCCGGTTGTCTAGTAAAAACGATATTATTTTAACAGATTTCCCTTTCAGACCTGTTTTTAGGATCGAACATAACAGAACCGTTTATCGAACACTTAAAGCATTACCACGAACCCAGAGAATTGAGCTGTACAAACCCCGGAAACTGATATTATTCTTTAAGTGCCTCAGTAATAACATTTAGGGAATCTGAACTTATTTTATCATACAAAATATGTCTAATGGACCTTTCGTTATTAAATTTGTAATCAAACTTGGATATGAATCCTTTTATTAGAATCCTAATCGCAGTGACGGATTATTCACTTTTTGTTTTTTGTGTATATGTGCTTATGTATTCTATAGCTTTGGCGAAACAGTAATATTCAAATATGTCAACCTCATAACTATATAATTATATTTATAATTTTTTTGTCAAACACAATTGTTTGATTATTTTCTTCTGACTTCTACTCAATTGAGACTGTTTTGAGAGATATTGAAATATGTTTAGGAGGGTAAAATTCCAAAATCCCCCCCCCCCCCCCCCCCGCACTGCGCGCCAAGCTGCACCCACCCAAAGATTTTGAGCTGGAGCCATGCCTGTCTGTCCAGCAAACTGTACAAACTGAGATGAAAAAACGTGGTGCAGCATCATGAAGCACTGTGGAACAACTACCAGTGCTCCGTAGATTGACAGTATAAAAGTATAAAGACAGCTGTGAAAACCGTAGTTGAACCTCACCGAGATTTGGGAATCATCGGGGTGTTATCCTAAAGTGGTGGCAGCAAGTTTGATCGGGATTCAAAAACTTGCAGATAGTGGTAAACCGAGACCGATAAAAGTGACATTGGCTTGTATGGAATCAGTCAAAATGGTTTTTGCTCGAGCAAGAAACCTGAAGAAATCTAAATGTGCAGCGTACCATACGTGGTTCATCACACCTGACAGAAATAGGGAGGAGAAAGCAGCTCATCAGAAACTTGTTGTAAAAATGAAGGAAATGATTACTGCTCAGCCAACAAAGTATCATTATATTAGAGACGGCAAGATTTTCAATGTAGATAAGTTCAAGGTGTAACATACAATGTTTTTGATATCCAATATCCATATTACTTAGATTTAAGTGTACTATAAGGCTCTTATCTATGGCTGTTGCGTGTATTTGTTGATTTCGGCCGATAACGAGGAACTTTTAATTGTGAGTTATAAAACTGCAACCGTGATTGTAACTCAGGTATGCGATGACTTGTAGAGCACACATCGCTGAATAGCAATCGCAATGCAGGTCTCACACAGGCCAGGTTTATCTATAGGGCTCTTTTCTGAGGAAAAACTACCAGTTGTTTATGTATTGTGTTGTGTGCTAAGGTACATCGTTTCATTTTTGGATATATTGGTATTCCTAAGCAAAGGGAATTTATATTTATCTAATTTTATGTAATTATTATATATGTAATACTTCAATAGTATTGACCCAGTTTCTACTCACTCCCACCCTGTCGATAAAACTTTTGTAATCAGCATTTCCGCTCACTTCATTGAATTTGTTAACCTTATTAAAAACGGACTTTGCTGCCACGTGACCTCCCAGCTGCGCTATGATTGGATGCTAGATGGACTTCAGTTCCTCTGATAATCTCTTTCTAAAACAAATCAAATTTCCATGTAACTGCATAACATTAAATCATTCAAAATTATACTGATAATTCTCTCCATGAGCCGCTCACTTCATTGAATTTGTTAACCTTATTAAAAACGGACTTTGCTGTCACGTGACCTCCCAGCTGCGCTATGTTTGGATGCTAGATGGACTTCAGTTCCTCTGATAATCTCTTCCTAAAACAAATCAAATTTCCATGTAACTATATAACATTAGATCATTCAAAATTATACTGATAATTCTGTCCATGGGCCAAGAACAGTTCTTGAAGTTCAAAATAACATCTCCTGACCTTCCAATTCTTAAACCAAGATACCTTTCTGTGTGTACACTCCGCTTTTTGTTTTTTGTTGTCGAAGTGTTTCTGGTCTACAAAATACCCTACAAAACACCCAGGAAAATGTTACTACCTTTAGCTCTACTCTTAGTCATAGGATCGTTTCCTGCTACTGTAGAGGCAAATAAGCACAGAGCATTAAGATTTGGTCAAAGCAGGGCCGACTATATAGAGTGGTCTCCGAACATGGCCCCTTTTAAAAGGCAGTTCTCTGTCTGTACGTGGCTAAAGAAGAGACATCAGTCTTCAGCTCCAATGGTTGTGAACTACAATCCTTACGAGTACGGGATGATATTAGGTGATAACGGTTATTATAACCTAGTGGTAGGTTTCAAAATCTACGAGGCACAAGTAGTCTCTATTCTACTCTACAACTGCAACTCCTGGGCTGCACCACTAGCTTCGTTGAATGAACTTGATATTGCTCATCGCAAACACCTCCGAAGAATCCTCAACATCAGATGGCCTACTGGGGTTATTTCTAATGAGGCACTCTATGCTCGTTGTTATGTCACTCCCTTGTCTGTGAGAGTCTCTAAGTTTCGATGGAGAATGTTAGGACATATCTTAAGAGGACAGGAATACTCACCAGCATACACCTCTATGTTATTTGCTATAAATTCTGATATTTTTATGGAAGGGAGACGGGGTAGACCATGTTTAAACTTATTAGATGTTATTAGAAAAGACTTGACTAGTAGAAATCTTGATATTAGACTTAAGAATTTGACTGATTTCGAAGACCTTAGATTTTTAGCTTTAGATAGGGAGGAGTGGAAGAAGTTAGAAGATGGTTGATGTTTTTGTTTTCTTTTTTATGCGTTTTGATATCTATAAGGTGCCTAGGATGCTCTTTTAAAGAGATATTTCGTACTTTGAAAGATTTACTACTACTAGTGGTAGGTTCTGATTTTTTTCTGAGCGAGTACAACGTGCCTGATGGAGAATGGTTTCACGTCTGCTGGTTGTGGAGTGCATCTAGTTACACCACTACAGTCTACCTAAACGGAGAGATTATAGGATCTACAGCTACTCATCAGAGGGAGCTGAGAACAGGAGGAACAATGTGTCTTGGTAACTATGCTGCGAGTAAGGAATCTAGATACGCTTTCGGTGGTGACTTGTTCAAGTTGAACCTATACAGTAGAGTTTTAACAGACACTGAAATCCGAAACATGGCCTCTGATATATGTTCTAACGAGGAGGAGAATCTAAACTCGATAAGAAGTCTTAGGTGGGAAAGTATAATATTACAGGAGAGAAGTGGCTCTGTGACTGAGATAACTGGATGTTCTCCTGAAGAGATTGAAGCTGGAAGGCGGGCTGGAATGCTGAGGCTCATTAAAGAAAGACTAGAGACATTTGGGAGTAGGTTAAAGAACACCGAGCAGGAGTTGGCAAGAACAAAGACTAATTTGATACAATCTGATAAAAAGTTAAAGAATGTTACCGCATCCCTCACAGCAACTCAAGAAAAGCTAAAGAACTCTGAGCAAGAGCTAGCAGAGACTAAGTCTAATCTTAATCAACAATTAGAAAATGTTATCACCTCCCTGACAGGTACCCAGAATAAGCTTAACGACACTGAGCAAGAGCTAGCCGAGACTAAGTCTACTCTGGATCAACGACTAAATCAAACCGAGGATAAGTTGGAGAATGTAACCACATCTCTCAAAACCACCCAAGAAAAGCTTAAGAACTCTGAGCAAGATCTAGCAGAGACAAAATCTACCCTGAAGGTATTTGAAGAGAAGTTAGGAAGTTTTAACTTCTCCCTCGCAAGCACACAAAATGAGGTTTCCAACACCCAACTTGAGCTTACAGCGACAAAAAATAGTTTTACACAGCAATTAGAAAGTGTCACCGTGTCCCTGAACCATACCCAAGAGGAGCTGGAAGCAGCTACAAAGAACAAAGTCCGCAGCAAGTGGGACGTGCTTTTCTCGGACAGGTTTTTCAACAAGCAACTTACTAGGGAGATGTCTCAAGAACTCAAATCAGCATGGGATGTTTTAGGTAAGATTTGCTTGATCTGTTGTCTAGTGAGTAGTGTTCTTATGAAATGTATCATTTTCGAAGAATAAATATTTTTTGTATGGATTGCGTAATAATAATATTTTGTAATGTCTTAAAACCATGGCATAAATTTTTAATATATCCTTTTTTGTCTGGTAGTAGTAGATCAAATACTGTTTTAACTTTAACATCTTTCCTTTCAGATCTGTTTTTAGGAGCAAACATAACAGAACCAGTTATCGAACACTTAAAGCAACAGCACGAGCCTAGAGTAATGGTCTGTGCGAACCCCAGAAACTGAGAATATTCTTTAAATGCTTCAGAAGTGATATTTTTAGAATCTGAACTTATCTTAATATACAAAATATGTCTAATGGACCTTTTGTTATTAAATTTTTAATCAAACTTGGATATATGATATGACTCCTTTTATCAGTATCCTAATCGCAGTGACGGATTATTCACTTTTTGTTTTTTGTGTATCATGTGCTTATGTATTCTATAGCTTTGGCGAAACAGTAATATTCAAATATGTCAACCTCATAACTATATAATTATAGTGTTCTTCAAAATCAAGATTATCTTTTGTGACTTTTCGTAAGTGGATCCGGTAATATTTTGTAAACGTTTTCACCAATACGTTAGTAGCATTGTCTGAAACTACCTGTGCTAATGGGCCAATAAATAAACTGCTGCTATTCTGTCTGGTAGGTCTAGTCATTCTTGGACAATGGACCTTGGACATACCTTTGGGAAGGTTTGTGCAAAGTTTCGTGAGTATCTAGAAATTTGCAGGTACCAAACCAAGAATGTCCATAAATGACTGGACTACTATAGGGCCTGGTGTGATTAACACATAAGGTAGCCTATTAAAAATAGCAGCAGCAGCTTTGGATAGTTACGTCAATAATTGACAACTTTTAAACCGCCCATAAAACGTCAATAATCTTAACTCAGAGTAGAATTTAAAATTCTCTTCCACGACAATTAATCTTATGGCAATTTGTGAATATTCAATGAAAGATTTACTCACTTTTCTTTCTGTCAACAATCATCTCTTCTTCAGATTCATTACTCTCATGCTGGTCATCCTCTGACTGTTCTTTTTTGCTCTTCATATTCTCAAATTCATTATCTGCAGGCTGCACATTATCGTTTTCAGAGGCAGTATCAATCGGCTGAACTCTGGAAGGTCTTAGCTTATCGTCGTTTGATGATTCCTCGGAGTCTTCTTCAATCCGCGGGGGTTTCTTTTTGTTCCGAAACTTTCTGGACCGTAGGTGGAAACTGAAATTTAACGTTTATTTGACAATGCAATCAACAAAATAAAGATTCAAATATGACAGACATATCCATCCTTTCCTGTTGCCTATTGATTTAGCCTGCACTAGAGCTATGCGCTAAGCGCTTGTTGTTACGAAGATTTTAAAAAACCTTTCACTTGCTAAACAGGAGGTAAGGCTATCGACAACTATTATTGACCTTTCCAATACAATTTTTAGGGTCATATACTTAGGACATCCGCCAAAATCGCAGATTTTCAGACCACCCCCTCCCCCTGTCCCGTGTCCGGGTGTGTCCGATTTTCAGAAACCACCGCTGTGTACTTGTGCGGGGGGGGGGATGCACAATCTTAGGGGGGGGGGGGGGGCCAAACCGTCGTTTGAACAACGCTACGCCACTGAAACCACCCCCTCTTCCCCTGTCGGGATTTGTCCGAAATTCCAAAACCACCCCCTCCCTATTTGCCGGACGTCTTAAGTAGATGACCCCGTAGCAATTAACCGCAGGAATGGAAGTTTTTCAGATAAATTGGCCAAATCATGTAAAATATGTTTGTTGCAACAACGAACTGGTGATGAGGAATAAACCCTGCGAACTGGAATATTTGTTTAAATGTAGTTGTCACCTTCGTCAATTCGCAAAGGATATATAAGATAGGGGTTCTTAAATACGTAGCAAGTTTATAATTGACATACGTTGCATGCCACTTTTCTCTGATATTTGTGATACGTAACATGTATCAAGTTTATAAGCTTAGCTGTATTATACGTCAGTCTAACAATTTACCGCGAATCGATGAGAGGCGCGTAATGTACGTAATTTAAAATAAATGCGTGCGGTGAGTGCTAAACTGTATACAAATTATACCCGCGCATTCCAACTAAGTCGATCATAAAATTGTGCATCCACTGACTGTTAAACTGCCAGTCAACCGAAATTGAATCTAAAACTCGTTCCATCATCAATACTTATAATCTCAAGATGTGTGTGTATGTGTGTTCGTTCGCGTGTAATTTCAGAGCGGCTTAATCAAGAAAACAGTTAGAGTTATGGGACTGGTTATTTCGGTAAAGTGCCGACAAAACTCTGACCAAGCCAAATGATTAAGGTTTTTTAAATTGGCCGGTGGTAAGTGGTTTAATTGATCATTTTGTGACCTAAATGTGATACTAAAGTGTGTGTGTGTGTGTGTACTCTCCCACTCTCCCACTCTCGCTCTCTCTCTCTCTCTCTCTCCCCCCCCCCCCCCCCCCCCCCCCCCACCATAACAAATTTGCTATATAAAAAGATAATTTGGCAGTAGACCTCAAGATTCCCTATCAAGTATTACTATTAGATACGTGAGGGGCACTAAGAATTAAATTGCGGTCTGTTTGGACTGAGTGACTTGCAATGCAATGCGTGTATTCGAATGTAATAGGCGGGTTTATACTTTTACATTTCAACTGCGATAGTGAACTCCCGGCCGTAGGCACAGGTTACACTAGTAATTATATAATAGGATTGAAACTTGTTTGTTTGTTTATAGAACCCGTCCCCAATCTCGTATTGGAAAATGACTAAACTCAATTCTGAGTGTGAATACTATACGGGTGGTACCTACAAGTGTATTCATAATAAGCATTTAGAAACTTAACATACCGTCGTTTAACTGTCTCCGAATCGCTGCTGGCAGAATTGGAGTTCTCAGTGATGCTCCTGAAATATCACCGATGTAGCAACCAATCACACAATTTAATTTCTGTTACCGGAATATTCTTGGCACAATCAGTTATCAGAAAGAATGTCTTGGTTCAATTTGAAGACTTGCAAATCAACGAGCTTAATTAGGAAACGTGTGTGTCCAGATAGTGGATACACGGAGAAGCTTGATTCTTTGATTGATGACAAAAAAATACGCACCATTTTCAACATTTATTGAAATGATATAACAGTACAAATTCTTATAACAAAACCATACTCTATTTAACTCGTGACCTAAGATTTTGTTTTATCATATTCCCATTTTTTTCGTTGTAGATCTCTTTACCTCCAAAACTCGGGTTCAGAAAGCATTTTAAATCTTACTGTATCTGAAATTATATGCAAAGCCCTTATGGCCTTAACTCTGTAATCTACGGGATTCAATGATATAAATCTCAAGTCATAAAACATAATCTCAAATCCCCTTTAAAAAGTGATATATATTTAAAACGGGACATTTTGCCAAATCAAAAACAACATTTTCAACACGATCATGTGATGAAATTTGGGAGATGACCGAGCTAGGGCGGCTCCACAGGAGAAAGAAAATGTTTGCAATTAATACAAATCAACAGCTGTTGCAAATAGACATAATATAACCCCGAAATGCGTATTTTTAGAGTCAGCATTTTGTATCGAAAATTCAGATCAAATCCCAAAGATCATTGCACATAGCTATAACCTAAATTTAACCCGTCACTATCAAAATATTGAAATAGCTCAATTCTTGAGTTCACATTTATCTGATCATATAACCGAACCGGTTTAGTTTTCCGCTGATTTCTCTGATTTTGCTCTGTGAAAATAACATAAACTTCACAAGTTAACAATCCGAATTTAACAACATTTACTAATAACACTAACTGGATGCATTCAAATTTGTGGAAATTCAATTCACGTGAAATAATGAATATGAAAAATAGTGTAAATTAACCATGAAATAATAAAATGTTAAGGAATTGCACAAAATGTGAAAGTATCATATAATTTAATGAAATAAACCTAAAATGTCCAGCAATCGAATGGGATGCAAGATAGTTCATACTTATTTCAAGAACCAGACATGCAATTGATCCCCAAAAATAGAGTAAGAAATGTTGCTACGTGCTCCCAGACCACTCGCTACTCGAGTCTGACCTGATAAGAGAGTGACGACTAGATTTCAACACATTGGTAAGTCGCTGTATTATAGCAGCTTGCTATACAATAGCAGGTTGCTACATATACAATTACAGCTTGCTATACTGAGGTATATATCATTGCAGTACAGTTAGAAAATGTAAGTCTCAGATTGTACAACAGCTTGCCTAGCTACTAAGTGGAGATTATAGAACACAGCAAATCACACTAAAAAGTCTGCATTCATCAAATCAGCATTCTGCAGAGAAACAATCTAAACAAGGAGGATAGCATACTGCTGAAAGATGCTACAGAGGTCAGTGATTGGAGATATACAGCTATATACACTATATAGTATACAGCAGTGTAAAAAGCACTAATTCGGTATCAAGTGAGGTCCATGCCTGGACCTTATTATTTTACGAGGGTACAAATGTCAAGGTTAAGAATGTCACAGCCAATACTCTTTTATTGTTGCCACCACCAGGCATCGTAACACATATAGAACATGCATACTTTCAAAAGAATGCATAACAAAAGAATGCTTACCTCTTAGGTGAGCCAAAGTCAGAATCGCTCTCCATCATTTCAGGTAAATCTGCATAAGATATTTTCTTCTTAGCTTTCCCCGTCCTTGTTGTGTACCTTTAAGAAAGGGTGTAACATTGATGATTGAGGTGTAATATTGAGGTGTAATTGAAGTGTAACATTGTTATGTTAACAATGTTCACTGTATGTAATGGGATAGTTAGACCTTTGAGAGCAGGCGTATAATTTCAGTTCTCGACTTGCAATTAGCAATGTTCTTATTGTATTGTATTCGAAATTGAGAAAGGTAGAGCGAGAAAGTGTGTACTCTGCGACTCTTTTGAAATCGGATACGCTGAAAACTACATGCGACATTGCGTGGCTACCATAATTACATTATCTACTTATCTACTTCCGCATAAACGCTTTTCTTGCATCCCACCTTGTACAGTAATAAAGACTACCTATTGATAACTATAACTTGTAGACTTTCTATTTTAGATAAAGTACCAGAGTAATGACCAATCCAATCTTTAAAATTGTTGTTTTAGTTGATATAATATGATTATCCTAACATAACTTCCATCGAATATTTCATTAAGGCGGAAAGCAACCCATTGCGGAGATATTACTACTTGTACAATTCTGTATGATAAAATTTGGCCCACAATATAGCTGAATCTTAAGTAGAAACCTATTCGTCGCTACAGGGCTGGATTCTGGGTCTCTTGACTCTCGTTTAGAGCTCTTCTTCTTTCTCGTTTTGTTTTTGGGCGACTTGGGAGAGAGACTCTTCCTAGATGGAAATTGGTCAAACAAATTGTATTTTTATAAAGTCACCTTACATCGTTGTTGCAGCTGAAATTGGAAGCGGCAAAAAAAGAATCACAAATTAACTACCTGAGGGGACTTTCTTCAAAATCATCTGGGCTGCTGTCTGACGGTAGTTGGTTTTTGCCAACTTTTCTCCTCTTTCTGGAAATGTTGAGTTCTGGTGAAGAGCTTTCGGTGCTTAGCTGAAAAGGGAAATATAATTTATCAATTGCACAGACACGAATTAATGACACGATGTAAGCTGTCGTAAGTATGGGTACACTTAATTAGGTCTTAAACACTATCAATAAGACAGATGATTCTATAATACTTAGTTCAATGTCTTGTTAATTTAATCATGCCCGCATTGCCTACAAGCTATTAACCTTTTGTTTTCTTAAACCAATTCTAGGAGAACTTCGAACCAGGTTTTCATAAATACTCTGAGTTTTAAGCAGCATCTGTTGGGGTGTCATTTTAGGATTCTTGTCTTCTTTTGATTCATCTTCAGTCGACATAGCTCCTGAAAATCACGTTAAATTGTGTAAATTTTCAATTAAAATAGATTGGAATCGAAAATCGAATAGGGTGTTAAAATTGTACATTCTTTGTGAACATCTTTTCGCACTGAAATCAGTTGTAGTAATATTGACAATTCTATGAATTGACATGATAATTACATAACATCTTAAGACAAGAGTAAAATGCTCACAATAATAACATAGAAACTGATTTAAAACAATTGCTGTAATAATATCATATTTACACAGAATAAATAAGCTATCAAATCTTTAATTCATCTAAAGAAATGCAACGTAAATTCTCAATTTTATTAGGAGATCTTCTGAAAGCATAGTTAAATGGTTAAGAAAACACAATCTGATTTCTCTCAAATAGGATATTTCAAGTTAATTCAACTATGAAAATTAAATACCTACATAATATCAATCAGCAGTTAACAGATTAACACTACGAAATTCTTAAAAGATCAACAACATGTCTCATGGTAGGTCGACCATGCGGACAGTTCCAGGGATGATCCATGTTGGCCATGTGGTCCACTATTTCCCTCATCTGTACAAAGCTTAATGCTGTGCCAATCATTACAGCTGATCGACAAGCTCTTGAAGCAAACATTCTGTGAACCTTCGATGGTCGTAAATTTTCTATGTTAAGAGTTGATTCTTCAGATAATAACCATAGTAATTCTTGAACATCCTCTTCTTCAAACAGAAGGTATTTGCTGCGTGGCACACCAGTTAAACAAACTCTCTTGCCTGGTTCTTTAGTTTCATCAACAGAAAATGTAAATCCATTTTTGTCAAAAATGTGCTCATAGGATAACAAAAGATCCTCCTGTGCTCCATTTAGTGCCATCGATTTGGGGCAAATAAGCTTTTGATTATCAATTTTGGTTTCCCTCCTGAGCGTTTCGTATCTAAACTTTTCATCACTGGCATGCTGATCTATAATAAAAAGATTTCCATTCAATTTTACTAAAATGAATCCCAGATTAAACTGTCCAAGTACCTCCATTTTACGGAACATTGCTTTAGTAATCTGCTGATCAAGCTCTTTTTCAGCATCTTTGTTTGATTCTATTTGATGATTAAAGTGAACTAAATTTACGTGACTAGTTTTCTTAGCATGTTGAAACTGTGAACTTTGTTTCAAAATCAAACTGGAGTTACATTTAATTGTTACCTTCTTCCTTTTCCGAGAAACATTAGGTTCATCATATCTGTCAACCGGAGTCTTTTTTGGAGAGCTGACATTATCATAAGAGGATTTTGCTGTACTAAATTGTTTGGGTAGATGATTTTTAGCAATCCCATTAACCGGATTAGCTTCTATAATATCCATCACAAATCCACCAGACAGGCAATTTTCAGGTGAGACAACAGAAAAAGCAAGACTTTCATTTTCTGTCTCAGTGACAGGCTCAAATATCTCCATTTTGAATCCATCATCATTCTGACCTTCTACACAATTTTGGAGCCCATTTCCATTCGTAAGTCTACTTGGATACATGATACATGAAGAATTGGTCTCTTTACTAGTTTTAAAACAATCGATGCTGGGGTTAGGAACAATTGCTTTTGAGTGACCAGTATCAACATTAGTCAAATTGAGTTGACTAGCAAATGGTCTATTGTTGGAGAAATGTATGCCTTCATCATAAAGGGGACCTGTTTTTTCTTGTAGGCTGGGAATCAAGTCTTCCTTATGACTCAATTCGATAACAGGTAATGTTAACTGAAGCTTGGAAGTCTGTTCAAGAAATACTCCAGCATATTTCTGAAACAGATTCTCAAAATACTTTGACAGGTTGTCAATCAGTTGATTTTCATTGTCAACAAATAACTTTCGTTTGTCAGGAGTGACATTCACATCAATGTTATCTCCAGTTATATCAATCACAAGTATACAAATTGGATACTGAAATTTTTGATGCTGCTTGAATGTAGAGTTAATTGTCTTTGAGAGTTTTTCATGATCACAAGGTCTTCCATTAATAAAAAAGTACTGCTTATCAGCACTTCCACGCCCATGTTTGGGCAAAGGTTTAGATACATATCCATGAACATGGAATATACATTCACTGAAATCGATTGCAACAAGATTTTTAAAGATTGAACATCCTAGAACATCAATCACATTGTCTTTGAGAGTCGACTTGCCTTGAGTGGAGAATATTACCTGCTTGCGTTTGTTTATAATATTTAGGCAATGTATCCTAACATTTAATGAAACCATTGCATATGCTTGGAGAGCATCAATGGCTTTGTGAAAATTTTTCTTAATGTTTTTCATAAACTCTTTATGTCGAACAGGGAGTGAATGAAACAAGTTCTCAATTGTTACAGTTGTTCCTTTAGGCCTAGCTTGGTGAGTTGATTTTATGATATTTCCATCCTTCCCATACGACAAGAAAGTTCCAAGTTCACCTGTTGAAGTCAAAACACTGAGGTTACCAAGGGCACACAACGAACTTAAAGCTTCGCCACGAAATCCGAAGGTTGAGACATCAGATATATCCTTGAAATCACGGATCTTAGAGGTATGATGTTTAAGTGTCAGGCCAGCGAAATTCTCTTCTGATATTCCTTTTCCATCATCGGAAACCTCAATAGCTTTAGCCCCATATTCTCTAAAAGTGACATTGATAGATTTGCCACCAGCATCGATGGAATTCTCAACTAATTCTTTTACAGCTGTTGCAAGAGTAACAATAACCTGTCCTGAGCAAATGTTGTGCACTGAAGACTTATCAATGCACCTTACTTGTGGAGCTGTTAACATCCTGGTGATAGTCATGTTTGTCAACATACATTTGACTTGTTCCAGTAAAAAATATTGTGATATAAATAAAGACAAATTCTATATAATATAAGTGATATATAAAGTGGGTAATTAGGGGTTAATTTACAAATAATAACTTCTGTTCTTTTTACAGTTTTATGTTTCACCTCAGTCCAAGGTGAAGATCTACAACTCCTTACGTTTGAAATTATCTTTTATAGCTGAGCAATGAGCATAAGGGTAGAATTTAAATTATTTCAACCTGTATACAAATTACATGTCTGTCTGTATGACCGCCCAGTGCCCACGTGCAAATTAGATGAGAAATAGGAAGCTGCATAGTAACGGTGTTCTAAAGCGCACGTGCACGTGCAAAGATTTGCGAGCGACATTTTGATCGGTTTTGTGGTAACTAAGTTGTGTTCAGTGCGAGCTACACTTTAATAGGCTGTATCTTCGGTTGTGATGGATGTTTTTTGATGCAATACTGACTGACTGACTAACTGACTACCAAAGAATACTATTTATTAATTAGCTTCCTCCCTGTTACCACCGGCTTTCTAGTTATTATTATAAAAGTGGGTTTAACACAAAACTTTCCGATCACAGAGGGAGTGTTAATCCATCTTTTTTTCACTGTTTTAATGAGACAATGACAGTAATTTGGCCTATATGACCGATGCTGTCATGAATAAATAGCTATTCAAATAAATGTGTATGTTGATTTGAACCAAATTACGTTGCTCCTTCCAACAAGGCTTTTGGGTTTCCAATGAATATGTTCACTACCTATGAGAGTTGGAAGAAGAAAGCTTTAAATTACTTAAGGTTTATTGCAGGTAGAGGCAGGTAAAGCATCCTCGTGCTATCCTTTCGTGGGCCATCTATACTCAGCCTCTCTTTTCAAAAGACGTTTATTGAAGCTGTGAAACGGGATATATATACATATAACTCTTAAACTCTGGTCACCAGAGCAATTGCCTAAACGTGCAGAAGTAAATTAACAAATACATAAAAAATACTAGCAGTCCTTAAAATTCGCAATAAATAAATTCGTTTAATGTCATAATATTCTTAAAACCATATATGTGGCCAGTAAGTAAGTTAATTGGACTGCTGTGTAAAAGTCTCAATACAAACTTTTGGCCAGTAAGTAAGTTAATTGGACTGCTGTGTAAAAGTCTCAATACAAACTTTTCTTTATTTACAATAATACATCAAATTAAACCCATATCAACCTTTGGTGTGTAAGAATGATTAAACTAAAACTGTTTAGTTGAGTCCATGTAACAGAATTGAACTGTAATAGCACCTCTGCAGTTAAGATGTAATTATATTTTCGTCCGGTCTAACATTGAACCCATCTCATTAATCAAAGGGATGGTGTAGTATAGTAGTTGGAATATAACAACTTTTCACAGTTTTACCTCTATTCGAAGGAATTATTCTCCATCCTTTTTTATTTCAAAAACTTAATCAAAGAACTTGCGAAGTCTGCTCCATGATATCAAAATTGAGTTCCCATTGATACATGTTACGTCTCACAAACATTCAGAGATATTATCCGCCTTCAGCAAGTGGCATGCCGTGGGTTAAAAATATTGTGGAACGGGAAGAAAAGCCAACATCTTTTGTTAATAAGCTAGCTGATAAGAAAATCTGGTCAACGATTTAATTGACAATTTCGATCCTTATATACCTTTAAGTGTATCGAGTGGTATACGATGTTAAGTGACGATGTCAATCCTTCGCAGCTCGGTGAGGCACAATGGTGCATTTTGCCGATCTAACAAAGGTTTCGATAAGCATTATTGGATGCACGGCGCGGCCCAGTAGTGCAATGTGCATTACTATACAATATACAATGTGTATGCAAAGCTAAAGCTTATAGCAAAGTATGCAACGAGTTTTAAGTGCAACCGCCAAGGCTACATATAATATTGATTTAGAATTTGGCATTACTGATTACGAGCAAAAGTTGCAAACGGATGTTACTCGTCTAAATTTTTCGAAGTAGCGCGTTGCGCGCACCGCGCTTTCTTCTCTAAATGGCCCGAGGCATGTGCTACGAAGTAGCGCGTGTCGGGCTAGTCCATTAACAATGGATAAGACTGGGCCGCGCCGCGCGCGCATCAAATGATGTCTCTTGATCTTGCGGCAAAATGCACCATTGGGCTTTGTAAGTAATACGCCATCGACAGTGAGCCGCGCTTGCCGACTGTAGGATCAAGGATGGTTTTTAAGCGCTAATTTCGGCCAGCACAATTTTCTTCAAACAAATAGATATTGAGTATCCTTTCTGACCTCCGATTGCAACAAAAATTGGTAAGCTTACTCATAGATCAGTACTTACAAGGAACGTGTCCGAAAAATTTAAAGCATATCCAACCATCAGACATTATGTTACAGCTAAAAGCAGCGTATTTTGCCCCATTTTGATCACTGTATCAACTCCGATATCCACCAAATTTTTCGGACAGTTGTGAAAGCCCTATTGGAAGGTAGTCGCTAATTTTCAAAATGATCTCATTCAAGGAACCGAAGACATATCCGAATAATACGACAAAAATCAACGAATTTGGTCAAATTACGCGACTTTTACAGCTACTAACTACTTTTGCTCCAAAAGCCGCGCACCATAAAATATGGCACCTAGGCGAAACTCACTGATCTTTTTAAAAAGGTATGACAAATTTGGTACTGTGAAAATTCTCACAGTCTCTAGAAAACAATGGTACAAACATTTTAAAAATCCGAGCAAGTTTATTTTTATCGTGCACCCCTTGTAGCGCGATGCACTACTGGGTCGCGCGCGCATCAAATAATGCTTCTCGCAACCACAGATCGGCGCGATGCGAAGGATTGACATCGTCAATCAAGTGCACCCCCTACACCTAGTCCTTGCCGAGCTAGCTGCGAAGGGTTGATATGACATCGTGAATCAACAATTAAATATGCTATGTTTACTTTTTTGTTGATTTTGAATATGTTATCTCTCAATCTTTATGTGTTATGTAGCGCAATGCACTTGCACCACTGAACCACGCTGCGCATCAGTTAATTTAATAATTCGTCTCGATATCGCAACCGCATTGCTGATCTAACTAACTTTGAACTTGAAGTTGAATTGCGTGCAACTATTCAGCTAGAGCTGAGTAATGCCGATGGGCATCGCTTTTCACAGGTTAATTATAGGAAATTCTGCAATATCTATCCAGGCTATATCTCATAAGGTAGTCTCTAAGTCTTACTGCATGGACGTCACCAACCTTGAACCTGTGACGTGCTTGTCATACGTTGTATGACCCGCCTGTATCGTCAGGACCATAGTGAAACGACCGCGGGGGTCGCAACGTGAAACGATGGCGTGCCAGCTCCGCCATATTTGCGATATTTGTTTCTTAACACTTAATAATAATAAGCCGTGGGTTCCCAGCTAGGTTGATTGACGATGATCCGCGTTGCTCTGCAAAGCAAGAATGATAGTTCGCGCGGCGCGTCATCCAATACAAGCAACAAGGTACACTGCAGTAAAATTCCAAAAGTACAAATAAAACAGTTTATTTTTAACAAATTTGTGATTTAGTAATTGTGGAATACCGATAATTTAAAGAAAGTAGGTTCAATTGAGACGAAAAATGTCCCTTCGTGATATGCTGCAGTCTTAGCTAAACGAGTAATATTTCACTGCATTATATAAACAATAAGTATAACCCTTTTAAAGTCATACAACATACAATCTCTACGAAAGTGAGCTATTAGTTAGAATCTATCCAACTATATCAAACATTCTAATATTCTTAGTTTTGTAGGCTATTTTAGCACCAGCTTAAAATTATTCGAAGAAATGAATATTCCTTGAGAGTTTCTATAGTATTAGGGAATCTATGTGCTATTCCAGTTTGAAAGATTTCGTTCTGAAGGTTTTATCTAAATCCAAAAAGCAATATCAAGATATGAATAGTTGAAAAACAATAAATTCTGACACGAAGATAATTGCATCATTAACTTAATCTTCGTTTCAACTGTTATGTACAGGAGACAAATATAAGTCATGCATTGAACATCATTGATCATATAAACAAATACGACTACAACTAGAATTTTGCAAACGCAAGAATCTTGCGTTTGCAATATATTCTTATAAACGGACAAATATTATTTCATGATGATATCAATTACATTAACTTACAAATACATGCAAGATAATATGTGCATGAAAGGTTGTTCATTCCGTTTGTATGACTTAATGACAGATCTCTAGAAATGTAATCCTGTTATTAAAGTTCAGAGCGAGGTCCAAACGTTACGAACAACAGAAAAAAGTATACACCACAGTATGTTATCAAAGTAAAGACTGTTAGTTCTGAATCTGACTTCTGAAAAAGTTTCCACATGTTTACACCAAATTTGAGCCCAACAACCAAAAAATTCTGATCAATTTGATCTGAATGAGAACTGACCCGGGTCTGAATTCTGGAAATTAAAAATAAATTGCAAAGCGTGGCCACGTCAAGCCAGATAGTACAATGAAAATTTACAACATTATTATCAAACACAATTATAATCATTGCATCAAATATCAAGGCAAGCCAACTCAGGGCCAACTATCCTAAATATCTAAATTAACACTAATGTCGCTGCTTGTCTATAAGCGATGCACGTTCCTTCATACAACAAAATGTGCACTGCCTCTCACTGAGTAGCAATATCCGCTAACTGAAGGTTAAACTCAGTTCAAACAGTAGAGGTTTTGGCGAGTGAGGGGCTGGTCGGGGGCGCGTCGTCTACAATCAGTCTCAACACGTGCTCGTCAGTGCGCAACATCAGTTTCGGAGAAGTATTGCTAAACGGCGTCATCTGATTCGCAACATTCCTACAGTTCTCTCGATCAGCACTCGAAGTGGCCGTTGGAGTGCCAGGGTTTGATATTTTAGAGGCAGGAGTGCGGAGTTTAGCACTCGGTGTAACACATTTAGAGGCAGGAGTGCGGAGTTTAGCACTCGGTGTAACACAGGCAGGAGTGCGGAGTTTAGCACTCGGTGTAACACAGAACTGATCATTGCTCGTCTTCCGCAGCTTCTTCCCTCCTTCTAAAGTCGGCGTATAATCAAAAGTGGTTCGGGACAGGGGCGGCTTTGCTTGAGGAGTGATGAATTCTAGCGGCGGACTAGCAGGTGCTGTTGGGGTACTCAGTACTCTGACGTCATCAACCGGTACTCTGACGTCATCACCCGGTACTCTGACGTCATCTTCAGAGGTGATAGGATCACTTTCAATATTATCAGAACCATTCACTTCAGGACAAGGTAAGAGCGGTAAACTACGAGGTGACATCATTTTCTTTGCAGACAGAGCCTTCTTAGCGTTCAGGATGGAGTCTATCCACTGTTTCTTAGTGCCGGACTGAACCGATAGCGTGTAGCCCAGACCCTCTCCCTCGAATACTCTGAAGAAGTTTTTGCTGATCTCTCCAGCTGTGGTGCTGAAAGTCCGTTTGAAGCTGCCCCCGACTCTAACTTCTTGTAAATCTTCTACTTGTATATCAGACACTAAGATGGGCGTTCTGTAGACCTGTACAAGATAAAAGTATCAGTTCCTGTTTTATACAATATTGGGGGCCGGGGGTCCACTAAACTTTTTTACACTACACTTTTGCCTTTTTTGGTGAATGGTGTAGTAAAAACTGTAGTAAAAAAGGTACACTAAATCACACTAAATTACACTTTTTTACACCTTAAAATCTTCTTTTTCCTGATATTATATGTATATATATTCCCATCAGTCTTCACAGTTCACATAGTACATTTTCAAAGGCAAAACAGGGGTAAACTATACCTTTGGTGAGAAAAAAATTCCCTTTTCACACTTTTTAAGGCTTTTTTAGGCTATTTTACACTACACTTTTGCCTTTTTTTATTTTTTTATGTATGGTGTAAAAAAGTGTAGAGAACCCCCCTCCCCCCTCCACAATAGTAAGGGCCAATGATATTAAACTTGAAACATATTATTATCGAACTTGAATACACATCCCCTTACAGCATGTACCATGTCATATTATTATTAACCTGGTAATGTAGTTTTTCTTTCTGAAGCTGTCTAGTGAGCAGGAATACTGTGTCAAAGAGGAGAGCGTGCACTTTCTGAGGGGCAAATCAGAATGTCAAGATCTAGTTAATGTAACAGTCAAATTGTATCATATTCAACGCAAGCAGTTTGATATTTAATGGAATTGGTAATGCCAAGTTTTTCCCCAAAAACACGATGTGAAAGACAAAGATCATTATACGAGGAACGGTGTAGCACAGGACGCATTTCGGGAACGTCCGGGAAACTAAATTAGTCTCTCGAACTTTCCACGAAATAAGAATTGTGTCACACTCAGTGGAATTAATCACAATTATAAATAAGTAATAGTTATGCTAAGTTTTCATGCAGTGCAAAGTACAAATAGTGAAATATATAACATATTATATTTCTCGATTATATTGCCCATCAAATTTGCTACACATATAATTCTTGTGAGACCCCTTGATAGAATGAATATCATTTCAGAGTTTAATAAGATAAATCTACGCGATGCAGCTCACATTTAAAGAACTGAACAACCACTATGAACTGAGTAGTCCCTTGCAATCCCTGTTGTTAGAATGTTCAAGTTTCAATCCACGATCTAAGACAACACACCCAACACAAACGAGTCAAATAGTCAGTACTCTTTCGAAAAATATAAACGGACAAAAAACTATAAAGAGATGAACATCGAAACCAGCATATATGCAAGAACCAGAATAACTGTTACATCACACTGCATATAATTCTACAAACTTACAGTTCCGTTTTTGTTTTTGAGAGGTCCATCACAGAGAAGGGAGGTAGCAGACTGTATCTCACCTGTATCATGCTCCTCCTGCAGGAACACCAACCTCGACTTATACTTGTCACACTGGGAGAGATTTTAAGTTTAAAAATAACAAATATGACACTCCTACGGTACACACTCTAGTGAATTAAATAACCGGCACAATCTGATAGATCACCTCCAAGTTTTGAAACAATAAGATAAAGACAAACCTTGGCTTGTCCAGTAGCCTTGTCGACAGCAGAGAGGACAGTGTGGAGGCCCTCTATAGCTTGTTGTAGTCCCATTTTGTCAGAGTGTGTCGGCAGGGTCATCCTCACTATGTTCTTTATCAGCAACACATACTGCAGATTAATGAATTAGACGTTTAGTAATTAGTACTCAGTATATATAACCCTCTTTCGAATATGCAAGACGCGACGAAAACAGTGTGCCGAACTTTTATGCGATCGTACAATTCAGTTGGCTCAGTTCCAAATTGTCAGATTCAGTACACATACCTTAGGGAGTCTCCGTCTGGGAGTATCGAGGAAGCTCCACAAATCTAACTTTCTGGAGAAAGAGGACGCTCTGCACCGCTCCAGGAAGTCAGCAACGTCTGTCTTCTGAGATATCTGGTCGAATACTTCCTTGGCGTATATCTGGTTACTGCAGTACTTGGAGTAACAGTTCAACAATGGTATCTGAGGGAACAAGATATTTAAATTTAGCAAAATTAAAAAGATATTGTGAGCTAGCTTTTATACAAATCGCATACAAAACGGACTACACTTGATAAATTTCTGTAGACTGTAACATTATCATTTTATTAACAACAAATAAAAGAAAAAGCGCCTAGTTTCGACTAACCCATTCTGTCACCGTATCTGATATACTGTCATAAACACCAATCTGGTTCTGTAGAGCCTCAAGTTTGTGGACTATAGTCTGATGAACTGAGACTAGCTCCTCGATATTCCCAAAGATCAACCCTATTTCCTCCTCTGTTATCAGACCCAGTTGTTTCATGGGTACTTTAAACACTTTCAGGACAAGGCTTAGATCCTCAACTAGCTCCTTCTCTCCCTGTAACAATGTAACATCCCAATCAGATCATTTACTTGATTTGTCAGATCATTTTGTCAATACGGCAAATAAAAGCAAACTCGAGTTATAGGCATACGTCCTCGTACATTTATACTTTTCATAATAAAATAATAGCAGTAGTATTACAATTTACAAACAAGCCCTCAAACCACCAACCCTGACCAACCTGCAACAACTCGTATATAGCTTCCTGTCTCCTCACTAGAGCAGGGGGCATGTGCTCCAACACAAAAGGGTCCACTGTCTTCTGCCATACCATGTGCTCCCGCACCTTGCTGGGGGTCAGGGCGGGTCCGGAGTACGGCTTTATAAACTCGGCTGTGGGCGATCTGAAATCGTTACAAATGTTCAACATTATGTCAACATATCAACATCATCGAGTTTTGTAGGAACTGGTTAGTAGTTCACTAGTTTCAAAAACTGTGATGTAACAGTGCAATCCGATGGTAGAATATGATAGCTTTAAGTCGGTTAAGATATGCAACTTAAGTAAAAGCTTGTGACCAACACGTTCCATTCTAAGTGATCAAAAAAGTCAAACCGCATGTCAATTAGATTCTGGGAGGATAAATTCCCGATAAATGGAGAATAAACTGTAAGACAGTACTAAAAACAATACTAACCGAACCATCCTGAGACTGTTAGTTCTTGTCAGGGTACCACTGACTGATTTCATTCGGCCCGTTGTAACACTTGACAAGTTGGCTATGTTCCCGATACTTCCGTGTCTTTTCCTCTTGTTTTTTGCAGAACATTCGTCGTCACACATCTTCCGTTTTCGTTTCATCTTTCCTTTAAGCTGTTTGAGGATGAAAAGACGCATAAGAGCACGATTGAAAGATAACGAATGTAAATATACAAGAAGGCAAACTAAATGCAAACTCAAAAATGTTGCACCTAATTATCGATCTGTGACTTCATTACAGTTTACCGCAACATTAGGAAGACGCCTTTACCCTGAGGCTCTATGCCCAATAATGCAGCTGCGGCCTTCAAGTTGAAATCTCGATTATACTCAATTTACTAATGATACTTATAATTATTAAACTATTGGACGATGGACATTGGGATTTTTTATTGAAAAACAATATAAGAGTAAACTAGGTCGCTATCATCCAAATTATTTTTAAGTCATCATAAATAATGTTTTAAACTAATTACAACACTACAAATCTATTACATTTATTGAGAATTATGAAATGTAACGCGACGGAAGTATTTTAAGCGGGCATATCCTGTCCAAACCCAGGATACATGACATAAAAGATTCGTTTTAACTTGTTTGCATGAAAAGCATTAATCACAATGCTGGCAACCATAACCGTTGCCCTTATATTCACAACACTATTTACCCCCTATACTATTATATCCCCTTTATTGTTTTCCAGGCATTAAGACTCATCGAAAGTAATTCAGCAGGTATATTTAAGTTCAAAACATTCTAATTCAATGTTAAAGATGACAGGAATAAGAAATAGTTATGTGGAGGTTTTTAAGAAATTTGCGCAAAATACGCGCCAGCATGTTATACGAAATTAGGTAAAAAACCCAAAATCGCCATATTCAGGTGCCTTAAAAACCATGTTAAAATTGAGTCAGAGATCTGAAACGTTGCAGGGCGTCTAGACCTTGTCCAAATCGACTGTAAAAAAAATTTCATGTTTCAGGAGTATCGGGAAGTGGGTTTTCTGGAACCCCTGTTTTACAACAGATTGTCGTAAAGCATATATATGTATATATGTATGTATAGACGCTTTTTGCAGTCAATTGTAGCCTACATTTAAGTGTCCGTAGATTCAAAAGTATAAAAGATACAGTCATTTCGAACCACAGGTTTTAAAGATAATCGTTTATACTTTAGTTTACTTTATATTGAAAAATAATTTATCGTCATCATCATCACTTGATGACGTCATCAATTTAAGTGTTTTTAAAACTTGATTTGACAAAATAACAACTTTTCAAATCGATTTTACACCATTAAGGAGTAATTTTATTCAAAATCTGAGGACATTTTCATCTTAGATAATTGTTCAAGCATTCTGAAAATCTACCGGAAAAGTTTCTTACCTTACTCCTTCATTAAAATATTCGCTATTGAAGTTAGTGCTTTTTTGAAGAATAATTTTATAAAAACACAAAAGTTGTGAATTAGTATTCTCTGGTGTTGGGCCATCTGTTGGGTTGTGGAGCTCAATTTTACTTCTTAAAGGTCTAAATTGTGTTATAGGCTAGTTTTAAAGTTAAAAATCGAAAAGTTGCACACGTGGGGACACGCCCAAATTGATTTAAAATAGCTAAAATCACTGAAAATTGTTATTTTCACAATTTTTATCAACTTTGGAGTCCCGTTGTGATCCAAGTTCTTTTTGAAATCTTCTGAAACTTTGCATGCTTATCAAACTATATATTAAATACCACTATGCAAAAATTTATGGTGATTAAATATTGTATGCGCACGCAACGTCCGCTCAAAGTTTGCATGTGCGAAAGGTGAGAATTTTGCTCATTCGTGATTTCGAATATATTCTGCTTTCCCACGATATTTAAATGGCATTATATATGAATTAAATGCCAACTTGAATGAGTAAAAAGTGCCATATTCAGTCTGTTATCGACAGATAAACCTACCTGAACACAAGGAAACGTTTTCAAAGGTGAAATTTCAAAATTGTTGAAATTACCTCCTTATTAATGAAGTTTCGACTGTGTAAATTATCCTGACATTATAATCAAAAAGAGATGATATTTGACCAAAACCCATAATCATGGGTAGAGTGAACCGCTGCCAGTGTCTCTCTTTTTCAAACAAAAGGAAATGATATTAATTTGAGGAACCGTCCGCAAATGCAAATTGATACCGAGAATGAAATCGGTCGCTCGCTTTTCCCATTCATTCACGGCTTACGAATTGTAATAAAGCTTATTGAATGGGAAAAGCGAGCGACCGATTTCATTCTCGGTATCAATTTGCATTTGCGGACGGTTCCTCAAATTAATATCATTTCCTTTTGTTTGAAAAAGAGAGACACTGGCAGCGGTTCACTCTACCCATGATTATGGGTTTTGGTCAAATATAATAAGAATAAATTTGTTTAAATCTAAACACAAACCTTGTTTCTAAGAGAATTGAAGCCACCGGAAATGGAAGCAATACTAGATATAGAGGAGATGGAAGAGACACTGTTGATACTTCTCAAGCTGCTATTGCTAGACTTCCGTCGCAGGGGACGCCTGAGAAAGGATGAGTTACTAACGTGTTCAGAAACGAGTGAAATACACAGTCATGCATGAAGTTTATTAGCCATTATCAATAAAAATATCTGTTCAGAAAATCACAATATCTTACAGAGAAAGATGATAGGGAGTCAGAGCCATTGATAGAGAGCTAAGAGTACTAACAACTAAATAAAGTTACGAGCAGGCTAAAGGAGACGAAGTATACTGGATCATAGTTCAAACTGGCAACTACTTGATTAGGTGCTAACCATTAAAATGGACTAGTGAGTCAATTAGCAACCTCGTCAGACACCAAGGTCTCAAAATTAGGACACGTTCGCTTGATTGGGCTAATATGGGAATTTAGGAAATCAGAGCCACGAACTCGATCAGACATACTTAGAAAGCAAATCATTCCTGGAACAGACGTGCAATCATTGCGTTTTTCACCATGAATGGCTGAGTGCTTGCTAAAATGTAGATGCACATGTGACACTGTGTAAAATACTGGCCCTGGCTTCAAATCCCCCTCTTTTCAAATAGGACTGAGTGACTCACTCTATTACATCATTAGGATCATTACATGAGGTCTTTACAGCTGTTATTACTTGATTACATCAAAACGAATATGACCCGCAGCGATTTGATGATTGACCACAGTAAATGTTTGGGCCGGAATTTCAAGTGGTATTAGGCGGTAAAATCTGCTTTATCTCGCATAGTTTTTGGTTTTATACACGTTCTATACCTTTTTTTGGCCGCAACGTGTATGAATGTGTGGTCATTTAAAAATCATTGAGGGGGTCAAAAGAAGTTTCCAGAGGTCTCAGACTTGACGTCATTACACGATGAAATTCTTATAATAATTACTGGTCACAATTATAGTAACAAGAAAACAAGACATGTTCGATCATCATGGTAAATATGCTCGATTATAAACATTTCTCCAGCCATTTAAGGTGAATTTCTAACTAGTAACTTGGGTTATAGCTGGGTTTGGTGCAGTACTCTGGTTGATTTCAAAATAATTCCCAGCGCACAATCAAGTGGGAGGAGCACACGGAATACACCATTTGTCAATTAATTTTAAATTCAATTAAGTTTAAATTGGGAGGAAACTGACAGGACGGCGGGCCCTCAAGCGCCTAAATCTAACAAGAAAGTCTAAAGCCGCGCAAATGGAGTGCTGACACATACTTTTAATACTGATCACACACAAATTAAAGCACAAATTGTCGGCGCGGATCGCGCGAAAAATTCAAACTTTAAGTTGTAAACATGCATGATAGGGTGAGTGGTTAAGGAAGTTGCTTTTACTTTAGTTATAGTTAGCTTGCTCTATACAAGTTACATTGAGCTCCAGGGGGTTCGATTACCTTACATTAGCAAGAACATGGGCCTCAATATCATACGATTTGATCCAAATTACAAATCTTTTGAGGAAATTTGCAATTTACTATTAATAATTCAACGGAGTGCAGGGTTTCCAATTTTTCGACAGAAAATAATACAAAGGTTTCTGAAGCCAACCACAATCGTGGAATGTTAATCCACAGAACAGAATAATCTATCTTCAAGAGGTTTCTGAAGCCAACCACAATCGTGGAATGTTAATCCACAGAACAGAATAATCTCCGATAAACTGAGGTTCTAACCTGAAACCAAGTATATTTTCTGAGTTAGTGAGAAGAGCTATCTCTTTTTCTATCTGAGATTTAGTCCTCTTCGGCGTCTTCACGTGATTTGATTTTGGTGTGGATAATTCACCTGAAAAGGAATGACTGTTACGTCAAGAAAATGTGATCCTGGGAGACATTGGTCAATATGTTCGGCGTAAGGTGTGGTCAATGGTCATGCGTTGTAAAATCAAAACTGACCATTCTGACTGATAAGACTGAGGAATATTTTAATATATTTCCATGTAATTATTCAATTTTATTACATTCCAAGATCGAGGCATCTTCCCTCTTTTCTATTAGGGGTCGTTCACATATAACGTTATCACTTTTTGGACAATTTTTAACCCCCTCCCCCTTCCGTAATCAGTTTTATACATATTGTGTAAATATAGCGAAATCATTTGGAAACCACCCCCCCCCCTTCCCCCCCCCCCCATCCCCCGGCTGATAACGTAATATGTGAACAACCCCTAACGGTGACAGTATTAAACAAATTATTGTTTTACAGTTGCGATAGGGGGGGGGGGGGGGGGGGGGGGGCCAATGGCATAAAATGGCATAAAATGGCATAAAATGGAGACTTTTTCTATGGAGAAAATGGAAAAACCCATGAGTAATTCTCCATTTTCTCCATTTTATGCCATGAATTTTGTCTTCGAAATTTCATCTTTAACACCATTTAACACCTAAATTGGACATCCTAACATGTTTATTTACGCTTACTAGGGGCGTAACAAGCTTATGAAAGCTCATAGTAGGCTACTAGATGCTTATACTAGGTTAGTAGAGGCACACCTCAGGCAAACTCATAATTACTCAAGCCTAGTGTAAAGTTATTTCTACAGGCTACAGCAGGAGTGAGTAATAGGGGAGAGTAATAGGCACTGAGAAGTGAGACCTAGGTCCTCGAAAGTCGAAACAAGCTCGCACTGCAAATGGGAGGCCTACTTTCCGAGATCGCATTACCAGGGGGAAGCCTCGAGTCCAAATTTGTGTATCGAGGGGTAGGTGTAGACTTCGATAAACCGAAAAAATATTTTCGGCTAATAATGAAGAGGGATGCATGAAACGTGGAGAAAAGTGGTTTTTAGAAAAACTTTGAAAAATTTTGACTTAGAAAATTTTCGGCCCGAGTCATTCTCGATACATACCCCTCGTATCGAGAGCTCCCGATTCCGAGCTCGTGTTGCAAAGGGGAGGCCTACCTTCCGAGATCGCATTACCAGGGGGAAGCGTCGAGTCCAAAATTGTGTACCGAGGGGTAATTTTCTAAGTCAAAATTTTTCAAAGTTTTTCTGAAAAACACGTTTCATGCTACCTTGTTCAATGTTCATTATAAGCCGAAAATATTTTTTCGGTCAAAATTTTTCAACTTTTTTCTGAAAACCGCTTTTCTTCACGTTTCATGCTACCCTGTTCATTATTAGCCGAAAATATTTTTCGAGGTAATGCGATCTCGGAAGGCAGGCCTCCCCTTTGCAACACGAGCTCGGAATCGGGAGCTCTCGATACGGGAGGTACGTATCGAAAATGACTCGGACCGAACATTTTCTAAGTCAACTTTTTTCAAAATTTTTCAAAGTTTTTCTAAAAACCACTTTTCTCCATGTTTCATGATACCCTGTTCATTATTGGCCGAAAATATCTTTTTTTAAATAATTTTTCTCGAAATTCTAAATTTTTCAGGTTTTCAATGGCATAAAATGGCATAAAATGGCATAAAATGGAGACTATTTCTATGGAGAAAATGGAAAAACCTATGAGTAATTCTCCATTTTCTCCATTTATGCCATTGGCCCCCCCCCCCCCCCCCCCCCTTGCGATATTTTTCGTGTTCACATTATCAGCTATTTATATAATGTAACATTCTTAGGATTCCAGAGCTATTTAGAATTACATTACTACGTAATGGAGTTAAGGGTCTTTACTCTGGTGGTAATAATTACAATATCATTATATCTATTACCGAGGAGCTTTTACAACACACTTGAATAAGCAATTTTAGTTATCTATTTAGGCCAAATCATAAAAGTTGTTGAGTTTATGTCACCAAACTGGTAAATACGATTATTATACTTCTACTGTTCTAGAAGTTCGGTATAGTGTGTAACTCATGTGCTGTAGAATTGATTACCAACCCCAAATGTAATGACAAAACCTTGCTACCCACCTCAGGTATGCTATGAATGTACACAACTTTACACAAATGATCCAAGAGCTGGAGTCAAACATGGGAGGTAAATGATCGAATTTACACTTGGTACAGATGGAATTTACACAATTTATCGAGTAGAATTTCGCTTGGGGACACCAGACACTGTACTACATTACATCGGTTCTCAAACTTATCTCAGAACCCCAAACTATAACTAAATTTATGTGAGCTATTTAATTCGGAAAATATTTTCAAACAGAGACAAGTGTCCAATAACCTTGACTCAGTGACTAACTTTATGATTTGACTTGAAGCAAACATTTTAGCGTTTATCATAGCAAAAATTGATAGGTATGTATGTACCTGGAAAAAAATTACGTATCAACACATTGACAGAATAATCCTGTGACATCTGAAAAGCACATTCCACATTTTAAGTTGTCCTACCTGAAGCTGGAATTTCGACCATACTTTTCATGACTGCACTAAGAGATGGAGTCCTTTTTAGGGTCGACATCTTCTGGTCGGGAGTTTTAACTTCTGGAGAAATCGCTTCACTCATCCTATAATAAGTGATGATGTTTGAAAATTAATACATTAACCAATTCCATGAAAACATAGTTTCAATTGTAAATTTTAAACTTAGTTTTTAATACTTTTAACACTTAAATATATAACAAATGATTGTGACCTAATGAAGAGAGATAGAGAGATAGAGAGAGAAAGAGAGAAAGAGAGAAAGAGAGAGACAGAGTCCCTAAATTTGTGGTATCAATACTCTGTTGTTAGCAAGATCTGCCAGATCACTTGTACTGAAGGTCTGATATACCTCTCAACCCGGCCCCTGGGCTCACCAACAGTAAGGTGTTTAGTGTTACTGGTCAATCCTAATATTATCAGCCCTCATAATTATATTAAATTAAACAAACTAGCGATATAGTATATACCCGTCCTACGGACTATTAGTCCTACTTTGAAAATAAAGGTTCGCTATGAACCTAAAAGTTACTTTTCTTAACTTAGTATTCATGTTATTTTCTTGGATGACTAGTTTAAACACTGCTGAGTATAATATAAGTTGTATCTTAATAACGGTGTTATTAAATTTCAATTTATTATTATTATTATGAGACAATAAATGAAATTCAAAACACCCAGCTAGAGCTGGAGCTTCAAGAATCCATTTCACATTCATATATTATAAGACGGTGCTTTATAAAGAGTAAGATAGCAAGTTACTGCATAGTGCATGAATTAGGATAATAGATTAACCAGAACGCTTATAAGTACATTGGAATTTCAAAGAAATACGATTAAATTAAAAATTAATTTTTGCTATGGATTTACGCAACTATCTCTGATAGTTGCGTAAATCCATTTTACACAGCATTTTACACAGCATCTTTTCTAAACTGTTAATAAATTTTCTCAGTAGCAGAAAATATCTCGAAAATGTTTGTGGATTATGGAAGTAATAAAATAAATGAGTTAAAATTGAAGTTAAAATTGCACCATAATATATGAACTATGAAGCCATTTTCAACGTCAGATCCCGCTTGATACAACATTCTGTTTAGATAGAAGCTGCTTTAAAAAATAAATCTGGTTTAAAATAAAATTATGATTTAAAATAACTAAGTCTGGACTAACAAACAAATATAAATATAACTGAATTTCTCAAAAACAAAATTAAAATTCGATCCAACATATGTAACCAAAGGTAACTGTTAGTTGTAAACAATCATAATTTACCGATAATATCTGAAAAATGGTTTTAACAAATTTTTAAAAACTAGTTTAATAAAGAATCTTACATGATACATAAATCTTCTTAGTCGTTCATATTTGAAGTTCGAACACAAAAAACATCGCAATGTAAAGTTATAAATCTGTAATGATAAGAAATAATAAGAAGTAACATGCTTCAGTGCTACACATCATATTTTATCCATTATTTTTCCTAAAAATGCTTGAAATCCTACTAATTGAAGACCTTGATTTGAATCGATTGGGGCTGGCTGCGACTTCATCATAACTGGGCAGAGCCTCTGCAGCTGCTGTCGGTGCCATTTCGAGGTTGTAGGCCGGTGGGGCGGATGGTGCTGATGAAGATGGCGTCTGCACATCTAGTGTAAAAGGTGCCGCTTCTGGTCTAGATTGTTGTTGATTAGCTCTCTTCCTTCGCTTACAACAGACTACCAAACATATCAGAAAGGCAACAATAAGAACTGCTATAACTGCGATTATTATCACAACTGTTGTAGTTACCAGTCCCTTTGCTGCAGTACCGTCTGCAGTAGAATAAAAAGTGTTAAAAATATGATACAAAATTTGATGGTTAGGGCTACCTCCCCCAGAAACCCTCCCACACTTGCCTTGATTAGTGATTTTATTGATCTGATTTAAAAGAAAATACACCATGATATAAAAGCAATTAGACTTTGAAACATTTCCCCATTGAATAACTTATTAATTGATCTATTACCTCCACATGTCAGAAATACATCCTCTTCATGCTTGCATTTGGGAGTTGTTGAGAAGGAACACTGATACCAGTAACTGGTACTGCACTTAACTTTGTCCAGTCTAATATGTTTTTTACTCTGCAGAGTACCGTACAAAGATCCCCCCAGATAAGATGTCCATGAAACGTTGCTATGTGGGCGCCCCATTGCTATACAGATCGATTTAGCAGAGTAGTCACTAAAGTCGTCATCACACACTGTTCCGCCATCGAATAGTAGTAGCCCCTCATGCTGTCCCTCTACATTTCTTGAATCTTTATCAACCAGTTCGAATGCCCCTGAAATAGGGTATCTAGCCTTTATCATAAGTAATCGAACTGGCGACGCATTCATAAACAAACTGTCATTAACGAATTGGTGACTTTTTAAGAAGAACCATGACTGTGTCAACTGTTCATGGTGAATACAGATTCATTTCATTAACATTTTATAAGCTTACTTTCAAATAGTTTTTTAAAACATGCTCTCACCTATGCTCTTTAAACAGAAATCCACCGAATTTTCTTGAAACCAAAATGTGTTGTCAAGTTTTGTTCCCCTTAGATTTGTATAAGTGTACGTTACTCCACTTTCTAATACCACTGTAGACTGTTATATTATTGTAAGTGTAGAGTAATATTGGAGGTCGAATGTTAAATATTAGAATGTATACTCTAAGCAATTGAATGATCATTCAATCTCTGATCAAAAACATCATAATGAAGCAATCACTTACCTTCTCCATTGTCCAGCCATCTGTGCCCTCTTTCAAGGTAAACTTCAAGCAAACCAAATCCAAGCTATCTGTGGTGAATTCAAACACCCTAACCTCGCCCTCTTCAAATTTGCCTAGTTTTTTCTCCTCAGAAATCTTCTGTCCGGTGGGACCCATCAGGGTAAGATAAACGTCTGTCTCTTCGTTTCCCTCATCAGCAGCCGTCTCAACCCTCACCTTTATTTTATATGCTGAAATGTAGCACATCACTCTATTGCAATACAAATACTGAAAACATATAATTACCCGATGCAGATAACACTTACGATTACTGTGAAAAAATATCTTTATTTTATATGGCCTCTCCAATCTCGAGTGGTTCTCAGATTGGTGACAGGTGATCACTTAATTGATGTGATTATCTTAATCTTACCATAGAAACTAGGGATGAGATACAGTGTTTGAAAGAGGATTATAGCCAGAAATGCTGACATAGCTTGCTTTCTGAAAGTTTGTTATTTCAAGGAGTCTGTTTCACTGTGTCCTTTTAACAGTGCATATTTCAGAGTTTCGTCCTTCTTGTGGACATGCTTTTGGTATCTTGAATTAAACATTGTACATTGAAATTTCAAAGAAAGACGATTAAATTGAAATGAAATTAAATTTTTCCAGCAATTCTTTAGTAGTTGCGTAAATCCACTTTATACAGCTTTATCTTGAAACCAGCAACAGTGAGCACTTTCGCATGAAGTTAAGAATAAGACGATCAGAAAAAAATGTCCAGCTTTAAACTTCAAACGAATGTATTACACAAACGCTTACTATAAAGAGAGAGCAAACACTGCACCATCAACGAACAACATGATGTCAAAACATATCTTATAATAATTATTTCATATAAAGGAAGCAAATTACAAGCATTTTTGAAGTATTCTGCACTCCACTTTAACGAAATTTCACACCCAATGTTACACAGTATTTAAAAGTGGAGGAGGCGTCATATTAGAGGATCAAATGTATTAAGAGGCAGTAAAACTAGCGCAAAATTCATGCTGTTGTGCTTTTTACGGAGAAATAAGACAACAGCGTTTTAAGCTTATTATTATTCTCTTTAAAAAGTATTTCAAGTGATTTATTTAAGTAAAGTGCATATATTGATTCTAAATACATTGCAGAAGATTTGATCTCGATTCATAAATAGAAGTTTTTAAAAAGTAACTACAATGCGTGCAATTTGGGGAGTGTGCTGTCGTGGGAGATATAAACTACACCAACATACATTCAAAGCTTTGAAAAATACGAAAGACTCAAGACATGCTGCAACCCAGGAATCAACTAAAATGCTACCATCGCTCAATAATTGGTTCAGTGTTGACGTTTCATATTTTTTCTGATTATAAAGCTCATGGCTTAAGTGTGCCAACCCTTAAATTGGCATTTTGCAATTTTGCAATCCGCTCTTCTGTAACTCATAAAAAGCATCGCATCAGTAATTCTCGCGCGTCGTAATAGTATGATGCATGTAAAATTCTTAAAATCTTTAAATTAAATTAGGCACTCACAGGTCCTTGTGATCGCTGCGCAAGGTTTTTTAAATGCGCGGCGCACCTCCAAGCTTAAATTATTTACCTTACTGAGGCAGTCAACCAACGCGCAGCTTTATTTTTATGATATGATATGTTTTGATTGTTATTAATAAATGCCAAAATTTAAAACTTGTTTTCCTAAAACTTGTTATTCAAATATATTCAACTAGCAGGAACCCGTGTATCAGTATAGCGGAGTTATAAGAAGTCATAGCGTGAGCGTAAATGTGAGCTAGTTTTGAAATTATGACGTAGCATACAGCATAACAACGCGCGTTGTTAATCTGTGGTTGCTCGCCCACGTGCATTTTTATCGTTGCTACGCAACAGCGCAGTAAACCTTTGCTAAAATAACGCCATTATTCTAACGATTATTTAACCTCACTTCCGACGTTAATTATAAAAAATCTAAAGCCTAAATCAAAATTCTAAGAATGCTATAGCCTATTCCTATCCTTTTTCTACAACCCTGCTAAAAATGGCGAAGTTTCAACTCCATTTGCGAGCTGGGTTTGGCTTCACCAGAGGGTCATTTTGAGGTCGATTTTCGGTGTTTTTTCTTCTATGTCCCCGTTGCCGGGGAAATTTCGTCAAGTTTAAAATATAATATAGATGTCAAATGTATTGATTTTCAGTAAATAAAATGTTTTATTTAGTCACCTACTTCATTTTGCCGTAATTTTGATACTATACTTACCAGGCTATAATGTTTATAATATTAATTTGGCGGAATGCAGAATGACAGGCTTAGCACCGCTCAATAAACCATTTACTAATTGGAGGACTTCGCCGCTTCGACGCGCCGCGCAAACTAGAATTCTTGCTTCGCATCGTCGATCGTTGCTTCGCAGAGCAACGATCTCGATGGATTGACATCTTCAATCAAACCATTTACTTGACGGTAGATGTAAAAATTCACTAGATTGAAAATGCAGTTCAAATGTGGTGAAAATGCTATTTTAACAGGGCGTTTGTTAAAATACTTTAAAAGTGAAAATAACAAACAAGAGAGAACCAAAACTATAAACATGTATTAATTAAAGACTGGGAGAATCAGCCCCATTTACAAAAAAGAAGATGAACAGCTATTAGAAAACTATAGACCAGTATCAACTCTACCTGTATTCGGGAAAATTCTAGAAAAGTTAATTTATAAGAGGCTCTATAGTTTCCTTACTTCCAAGGGGATAATACATGAAAACCAGTTCGGCTTTAGGAAAGGACACCCCACCAGCCATGCACTGAACTACTCTGTAGAACATATAGAATCGTTGATTAGTAAAAAGCAACATGTCCTAGGGGTCTTCATCGATCTCTCAAAAGCCTTTGACACTCTAGATCACTGTAAACTAACTACTAAATTAAAAAACTACGGTATAAGAGGGAATGCTCTGAATCTTATCTCTAGTTACTTGTCTAATAGGAAACAATTTGTAAATGTTCTAGATACCAAATCTGATGAATTACCGGTCGAATTTGGAGTCCCTCAGGGTAGTGTATTAGGACCTCTACTTTTCCTACTGTATATCAATGATATTTGCAATATAACTAATAAGGGTAAATTTGTCTTATTTGCAGACGATACTAATATATTTGTCGCTGCCGATTCGAAAAATAAAGCATACGAATTGGCTAATGAAGTACTACAGGCCGTAAATTACCTGAGGACCCCAGGCTTTAATGTTGGTAAACAAACAAGATTAGGCGGAATGACAGGCTGAGCGCGGCCCAGTAAGCCGTAAACAAGTATATGGGAGTTAACCTACTGCACATTAATGTAAAGAAGTGTTGTTATATGTACTTTTCTCCCTCTAAACGTGATAATAGCGAATTAAATGCAGATATAGATAGCCAAAACTTGTCCATAAATAACAAAATAATTAAACGTGTAAGTCAGACAAAATTTCTTGGAGTAATCATTGATGATAAACTGAGCTGGAAACCACACATATTATCTCTCAATAAGAAACTAAGTAGTGCTTGTGGACGTATCTACCGTATTAAGAAATGCTTGCCAGAATCACTATATAAGCAAATATATCATTCTCTCTTTGAATCACACCTAGGTTATGCTATTTCTGTCTGGGGAGGTATTCCCAATAATCAGTTGAAACCGCTATTTATTACTCAAAAGAAGTGTATCAGGATTCTCTTTGGAGACTTTGAAGCCTATGTAGACAAGTTCAAGACATGTGCTAGAGCAAGAGTAGAGGCTGTAGCAGGTGGAGTAGAGGCTGCTGTACATGGCTTAAGGAAGATATTTAACGACGAAGAAAGTGAAGCAGTACTCTTAGTAGACGCAGACAATGCATTCAACAGACTTAACCGAACCGCAGCGCTACACAACATACAATTCATATGCCCAGAGATTGCTACTTACCTCATTAACACTTATAGGAATCCGGCGAGACTCTTTATCTCCAACTCAGACAAGGAACTGCTAAGTGAAGAAGGGGTAACTCAGGGAGATAATTGTGCAATGGGAAAATACTCTTGCTCCCTCATGCCTCTAGTTCAAACTGTTGCACAATCAACACCTGATGCGACCAATGTGAAACAGGTATGGTATGCAGATGACGCAGCAGGGGGAGGGAAATTGGATGATGTTCTTAGATGGTGGGAAAAACTCAATGAAACTGGGCCACTGTTTGGCTATTATCCCAAAGCAGCCAAGACATGGCTCATTGTTAAACCACATTGCAAAGAGAAAGCAGAAAAAATGTTCCCAAATATACAAGTATCAGAGGTTGGGCACAGATATCTTGGATCATTCATTGGAACTGAGGAGGGGACAAAATCATTTGTGGAGAGAAAAGTCGATGAATGGAATAATGACATTGAAGATCTAGCAGATATTGCTAAAAGGGAACCTCAGGCAGCTTATTCTGCATTCAACTATGGGTTATCTAAAAGATGGAATTATGTATGCCGAACAACACCTGGCATCAGTCAATACCTTAAAAGACTAGAATACAAAATTCAAGAATCCTTTATACCAGCAATATTGGATAGATCTTTTGGAACCAACGAAACAAGCAGAAAACTCTTTGCATTACCAGTCAAAGAAGGAGGTCTTGGTATATATGACCTAAGTTTGATGTCTGACCTAGAGTACAAGTACTCATGCCAAGTAACATCAGATCTGACAGAAGCAATATACAAACAAAACCCAGATTTTTATGACGATCAGGAAAAACTTGTCGAGATCAAGACCCAAATCCGAAAATCAAGGATAGAGTTTTTCAAAGAGAGAAAAGAAGAGGTTACAAAAGACCTGAATGAAACCCAAAAATTGCAATTAGATCTTACATCAGAGAAAGGGGCAAGTTCCTGGCTTTCATCACTCCCACTCAAATCATTTGGATTCTGTCTCAACAAACAAGAATTCAATGACGCCCTAGCCCTTAGGTACAACTTTGGAATAAAAGATGCTGCAAGAAAATGTGTATGTGGAAGTGACAACTCAATAAACCACTCATTGATATGCAAAAGGGGTGGGTATGTATCTCTCCGCCACAATTCATTGAGAGATGTGATAGCAGAGCTATTAGAAACTGCTGGCTGTAAAGATGTTACCACTGAACCTCTCCTCATTCCTGTCAACGGGAGAGAACTTCCTGCAGGGGCCAACAAAGCAGATGGAGCTAGATTAGATGTTAGTGCTAGGAGTGTATGGAACCCATTGGAAAGGGCATTTTTAGATGTAAGAGTATTTCATGCTCAAGCTCCTTCCAATAAGGCTCTTGGATCTCCAACCACTATGTACAATAGCCACGAGAGACAGAAAAAGAATTTATACAATAAAAGGATTGTAGAAGTCGAACATGGGACGTTTACACCGATAGTCCTATCAACCACTGGGGGTGTGGGAAGGGAAGCTAATAAGTTCTTCAAGAAGTTAGCGGATAAACTATCTAGGAAATCAGGCCAACGATATAGTGAGGCAATGACATTTATTAGGAAGAGAGTAAGATTTGACCTATTGAGAACAACAATCATAGCTCTTAGAGGAGAGAGAGGGTTTAAAAGTAGTAGTGCAATAAAAATAGCAGAATTAGATATAAATTTGGAGCCAGTTCTTTAAACTGGCTTACTTATACTACTTAAAGGGTGTTCAAGGGTTTTCTATTGAATTTATATTGAATTTTATATAGGGTAATTGTTATATTATGTGTATATTGTTTGAATAATTTTTATAATTAGGTAAAAAAAAAAAAAAACTTATTACACATTTGTGCTCTGCTTTAGCATCACTTGACTATTTAAAAGGGTTAAAAAAAAATTGTTTGTTCGGGCCATGACCTTATAGTCAGCCAATTGGCCATTGCTATATTATGTGTATATTGTTTGAATATTCTTTTCTGTGCTAGAGCAAGACCAATTAATTCTCAACGTCTAGGATCTGAATTCTATGTTAAAGAGTCCACCAAACCTCTATTCACAAAACACGAACTACTTGCTATAGAGAACCTATACAGATACCGTTGTTTAATGGAATTGTTTAAGATCATTAAGTCACGAGTACCAATTTCGTTAAACTACCTATTCGGCTTATCAAATAGGAAAGATAATTTGTTAATCACGCCCTCTCCAACTAATCAATTTATGTACAAATCTGCATGACTGTGGAACGAATTTCGTAAAGTTGGGCCGATGAATTTCACCTCCCCTTGCAGCTCTGTCAAGAATTTGCTTAAACAGTCACTTCTAAGAGCTCAAAACAGGTATGGAACTGATTGGTGTGACAAAAATTTCACTGAATTCTGAGTGAGAAGTGATACTTGCCTGTTATTCCCACTTACTGACTGATAATCTTATCTATGGATACCATGCTTGAAATTAGGTAAACAACATAGCACTTCCTAACCAGTCACGTTGAACGCGATCGCCGAATGATAAAACAATATGGGAGCGCGCACAGCATTGCGCGCTGATACTCTAAATACTGTGCTGTGCGCGTTTCGTCCGGAACCTGGGGGAGTTCCCGCTCTAATATATCTGACGACAGTGATCACTCATTATGAGAACTAACCCCGACCACTTTCCCGGTCGAACCGTACCCAAATCAAACTAATTTATGAACCACGTGTATAGCCAACGTCCTTGCGGTGCTGAGCCGATGTAAAACTCTTCTGTCTCTTGTTAATATTTTAGTTGTACTGTGCATAAAAGTGTGTAGTGACAAGTGTGTAGTGGTAATGTATTATTTATTATGACGACGCGATATTTATAATGCAGAATTAAAAGCTGCTTTCGATATGACTGGTGGTGGGCTGTCTCCGGCGGGACATAGATCTATATAGGGGGTACCCGGGGTACGAGTTAACGAACAGTGTTCGTGTCCTTCCACAACCCCCTGTTACCTGTGTTTCTGTCGGGGTAGCCTAATTCATCCGTTAGAATCGCAGAGTTAGCGGAGCTCATGATATCTCGCGACGTATGCTGCATGAACGGTGCAAGACTTGCGCCGTTTGTTTCAGCATCCAGTTGCGAGTGCTTGCCCATCGAAAACATGATTAGTGATTGTGGATTTTATTGATATTACTGATTATCCATCATATTCAGTATTAATGTATCCATTATTTATTTATTGACATCCTTCAGTCTCCAAAACGAGGTGTGAAGGTAAATTAACTTTGAGCCTTGTTTTGGCGACTGCTTAATCAATGGGCAAGTAGGTATTTGTTTTTTAGCAGTGTTGAACATTGAAACAATTATAAAATGTTTATTTTTATCTTATATAACCAATAACGTACAATATGAATGACATATGCTATAGTGACGTAACATATATAGTGCAAAGAATTAGTAACTTGCGAGATGTGATTTAGTGATAATCGACATTAACATTTTGCAGTTTACAGTTGCACAATCAACAATGTTGGCGTCGATTGTTACTAACATTTATCTGAATTTAATACAAGTACATGTCACATATAAATTGGGTAGCTGAATGAAACTCGTGCCTCAAAATTTTCCGTTATTAGCATTGCAGTGTCCACGCCCTATACTGCGTTAACGACCGAAATTTTCCCAATATGCAATTATTATTTTGCTTCTTAAATTCTCTGATAATTAATAATATATCGTGACATGTAATTGTAAGATAACAAACCTCGCGCGCGCGGCGCTTACATCTGCACCTGAGAATCTCTCAGCAATGTGTGGCTGTCTGCGCGGCGGGCTGTGTATTGTGTATATAGCTGAATTTAAATTTAGATTTATTTGTAAATGTATAATAATATTAAATATGTATTGATTGTTTTGTGGTAAATAAAAATTTTGTTTTACTAAATTTTGTTTTACTGTAACCAGACTAAGATGTTGATATATCGAAAGATGCAATCTTATTACTGTGTGATTCAACTTGGACACGTTATTATTATTGCCAACGCAGCAGTACGTTGATCGAATGGGTCAAATGAAAAGTGTTGTTGGTAGGCCATGTCCATACCACAAGTAAACCTAACCAGAGAGTGGCGACGGGTCCGACTTGCAGTATATTTTAAATTAAAAATTATTCAAACTTTTTTTATCAAGACACTTATTTTATTTCGTCAGCCACATTGTTACACAAGTGCAACCAGCCAATTACAGGAAGCCGAAGGATTTATTTGGCCAGTGACGGTTAAGGTAGTGTGTACCATACTTTCTTCGCCCGAGACTTTGCTGCAATGTGCAGCTCCTCATTTAACCCTCTCACCCGATTTCTCGAGTATTCGGCTGAGTAGACCGGGGGGCTGCATAGACCACTCAGGATCCTTAGCTGAACGTCAACGACGCTCACCCCACGACCAGGCAGACAGTGGGATTTGAACTCACAACCTCACGATTGTAAAGCTGGCGTTCTAACCAACTGCGCTACCTGGCCGCTAATACAACAATATACACATAATTGTCACAACAGAGGCGGCTCATGGGAGCTGGCTGGCAGTTTTGTTGGGTGTCCGACCGAGTGGGGGTGGGGGTGGCTTGGGGGCCGCCCAAGCTCCCCCCCCCCCCCAAACTGCCGATGTCTATTCACCGATGACTGCATACAATACCATTACCATAGCAGAGAGTTAATTAATTAATTAAATTATTCCAACGTACATTACAGTTACACACAGGCCACAGTGCCTCATGTATGTAATGTGTCACAGGCACATTACATGACAGCAAATAAACAAAAACAAAAACTTATAACATGAGAGAAACAGGACACAACACGTGTACGATCTCAGCCACGCAGTATTATAACAGTCAAAAGTTCAAATTACAAGGTGTCCTGGACAACCAAATCATATAGATTACCTTTAGTAGATGCGCTTGATGTGCTTTGTACCGTTTACAATTAACTATGTGTTAAGGGGGCAGGGGGGGGTCTTCATGGAAATTTTCTCAAAATTGACTTTTTAGTTGTTTCTGATAAACGGGAGTGATATCTATCAGATGCTTTTAATCCGATAGAAAAATATTGCTCCTAGCAGAAATTATCGCCGGTAAAAGGTCAGTGCTTGTGTGTAATTGTATTGCGCGAGCGATTTTTGATCGCGTGCCCTGAAAATCGAGTCTAAAAATCTATCTCCTCCTACATTTTTTGAGCTATCACCCTCAAACTTTCAGGATATGTTCTAGGGATCATTTAAAAGAGATTGTCCAGGCAAAATTTTGAGATAGGCCTTTAAACATTTTTTATTCGATTTTGAAAATCTTGGACCTGGTTTTTTGAAGATTTTTCGAGGTCCAAGATTTTTAAAATCGAATAAAAAATGTTTAAAGGCCTATCTCAAAATTTTGCCTGGACAATCCCTTCTAAATGATCCTTAGAACATATCCTGAAAGTTTGAGGGTGATTGCTCAAAAAATGTAGGAGAAGATAGATTTTTAGACTCGATTTTCAGGGCACGCGATCAAAAATCGCTCGCACAATACAATTACACACAAGCGCTGACCTTTAACCGGCGATAATTTCGGCTAGGAACAATATTTTTCTATCGGATTGAAAGCATCTGATAGATATCACTCCCCTCTATCAGAAACAACTAAAAAGTCGATTTTGAGAAAATTTCCATGAAGACCCCCCCTGCCCCCTTAAAACTGCGCGTCTTAGTTGTCCAAACAAGGATTGGACACCCTACAACACAAAATTTCACAAAGATCATGCGTGCGCTTACATTCAAACGTTTGAGTGAATAGAGAGCTTTATATTGCGGTTAGATATTTCCGAATACCATTACTAATCACTATTTCTATTTTCAAGCACCAGCCACCAGATAATAATTTTAGGGCGCCTGGACGCCCTCAAAAGCCGCCTCTGTGTCACAATGACCCTTTATAAAAACAACCCTTCAAAAACTCAATAAATTCCCTATCTTTAATATTGGGAGAAACATTTGAAAATCACCCTTGGCCTTGTGGCTCCAAATTTAAATCTAGACTATATATATTAACCAAGTTCTTTCTCGCACCTCTTGCAGTATATTCAAATATCTAATTTTATTATTGTACTATATTGAATGGTAACTTAAATGGTTTTAAAGGCAAATTGTAACTTTCTGGGTTGATGAGATTTTCAACGGGGTTAAAGACTTCAAGATTGTTTTAGCATACAAAATATAAGTTTCGAAATTCAATGACTTCAATCAGTCTAGTATATTTGCATAATCTAACTATGTTTTACATTTCAATTTTCAGGCAAGGTTGAATGCTAAAATGCTCTCTCCTGACTACATACGGTTTGAAGAAAGTGTCGCAAGCTCACAGGCCTCCAAACCTCTGAACTCTCTTACTACAAGCATGAAATTCATGGAGGATAAAAGGAAAAAGTACTCAATTCATCTTATTTGCCTCATTGTCATTTTACAGAATGTGTCAGATTTTAGCGTTTCAGCAAATATGGTATGGATGGCATCAATTGTTGGTAACAACAGCTGGACATGGTTGCCATGCAAGCAGGGTTCAAACAATATTGACAATCCTGCCATATCCAGGCCCAGTACAGCAGAAGGGGCTACAGCTACGTTTAGTTACTACCTTCTAATTGCCATCTTCTCAATTATTGGTGGGTACCTGGGTGACACAAAGCTGGGTAGATACAAAACTCTGAAACTGTCCCTGGTGATTGTCATCTTAGGCACAGCACTCTATGCTAGTCTAGCAATTGTACTGCAGGCAAACGACCGGAGTCAAGGTTTCCCGATTGAGAGTTACATGGGTGTCACTGCTTACAACACTCTAGTGTACAGTCTGCTGTTTTTCAGTATAGTGATCTGTGCTGCCGGATCAGGGATACATTGTGCCAATATAATACCATTTGGTGTGGAGCAGTTTGTTGATGTGCAGACTGAGGAGGAGGACGGGGAACAACATGGCCAGTACACTAAGATAAGCCAGGCGATACACCTATTGTATTTTGTCAGAAACTTTGGCTGCTTCTTTACTTTTGTTGCTATCTCCAGCCTTCAGGAACACAAATGGTCCGTTGGATTCTGTATGCCTTTCATCTGCTCAGTCATTTCCGCAGCACCATTGTTCTTGGGAAAGAAGTATTTTGTTGTCAATGTACCAAGAACTAATGCCTCCTCCTTGTTTGTAAACGTAATAAAGGAAGGCTACAAACTCTCCAGAGTCACTGGGATTGCAGTGGACTCTAATCTTCATTATTTGGACTATGCTAGACGAGATTATGGTGGTAATTATGACAGGGAGGATGTAAATGCTGTGAAACGCTTGTTAAAGCTCATCCCTAAACTGTCAATCTACATGGTGTATTTTCTTCTCTATTCCCAAATGCACACAACGTTTTATATTCAAGGCCTATTCATGAAAACCCCGCCATATTTTCCTTATGCTGGCGCAGAAGGAATCAATAACATTACAATAATGTTGCTGATACCATTGGTAATATTCAAGGTGTACCCCTACTGGAGGAGGCACTACGGACCTTTATCGCCCATTCTAAAGTCCCAAGTGGGATTTGCTCTAATTGCCCTGTCCATGGTGGTTGCTGGATTGCTGGAATACTTCAGAATCCTACACTCTGACCCGACCTACAACGAGGCAGCTAAAGTCCGCCTACATTTCTACTCTTTGTTGGAAATAACTGTTAACCAGTCTCTCGACTTTTACCTGAGGTTTCCTCAGTATTTCCTCATTGCGATTAGTGAGGTGTTTGTGGTTATTGTTGCGCTGAAGCTAGCTTACATTGAGGCACCCAGACAGTTTAAGAGTGTATCTATGGGAATATTATACATGTTCAACGCGCTGGGGACCCTGCTAGCAGCGGCAGTGCTGCTGCTCACCCAGTTGATAACGTATTACGCTTTTGATGGTCACGGCTGGATTTGTCAGGATCTGAATGCTGGTCATATGTATTATTATTTCTACACTGTTTGTGTTTTGATGGTTGTTAACATGATTGTTCTTTGTTTTAAGTCAGATTCTTATGAACTTGATATATCGATTTAATTTCGTATGCATGTACTATGTAGGCATTTAATTATTTACCAATTAAAGTGGAATAATGGACTACAGACCAGCTTTTAATTCTGGACTACATTAAAACGGGGCCAGATTATTCCCTGACTTTTATGCTGAGACAAAGTATGGTAATTCGATTTGGAGTCTTAGTTTAATTTCCGACAAATCATTCTTGGCAAAAATTCAATTTTATTGGAAGAAAGTTAAACTGGTCTAGAGGTCGAATTTTGATCAAAAGCTATCAATGTTTATAGTTTTGCTCTTAAGTTTTTTCAATGAGAAATTGTTGTAGTTATTAATTATTTATAAAGTACCTAGTTAGTTATTAATTATTAATTACCTTATCGGACGTTATTTGACCGGACATTGCGTGAACGGATATAATTTTGAACAGACATTAAAATGAACGCTAGCCGCTAGGGCCTCTAGCGTCCAATTAACATCCCTTCAAATAAAATCCGATAAGTTATTAATAGAATATAGTGTAGCAGTTATTACTTATTGTTGATTGGTGTACAGTATCGAGTTTATCTCAAATTACACATCTATCACAATAATTGATGTAACTACCAATTTGTACTTTTGGCACACTTTTCGAATGAATGACGTGATTAATCAAGATTCCTCTATTAAGTAATATGACACGTTGATAATGCTTTAATTAGTGACGTGTATTTACTCCGGACCAAACTTTTAATTGTGCTGAACGTGACTTGAACAGAAGATATTTATATAAAATTTGATATTTTCTAAAACTTTGTACTATTATGACTGTGTTGTTTTTGTTTTTAGATTTTGGATTTATTTTCTCACAATGGGGGTTTTTAACTTTTGGTAATTTACAATAAAATATGTGGAAAGTAAACATTACAATCTTATTTTGACTGTGTTTTATGTACTTGATAGTATTACTGTTTACATCGTACACTAATTTACACTATCACGAATGAGAATTGCACAACTCATATCCCAAACAAATGGCCACAAACAGCTTACTTCAACCTTACATAATTAGTAATTACACGTGTTGTAATAATTAGTAATTACACGAGTTGTAATAATTAGTAATAACACGTGTTGTAATAATTAGTAATTACACGTGTTGTAATAATTAGTAATAACACGTGTTATAATAATAAGTAATTACACGAGTTGTAATAATTAGTAATTACACGTGTTGTAATAATTAGTAATTACACGTGTTGTAATAATTAGTAATTACACGAGTTGTAATAATTAGTAATAACACGTGTTGTAATAATTAGTAATTACACGTGTTGTAATAATTAGTAATTACACGTGTTGTAATAATTAGTAATTACACGTGTTGTAATAATTAGTAATTACACGTGTTGTAATAATTAGTAATTACACGAGTTGTAATAATTAGTAATAACACGTGTTGTAATAATTAGTAATTACACGTGTTGTAATAATTAGTAATAACACGTGTTATAATAATAAGTAATTACACGAGTTGTAATAATTAGTAATTACACGTGTTGTAATAATTAGTAATTACACGAGTTGTAATAATTAGTAATAACACGTGTTGTAATAATTAGTAATTACACGTGTTGTAATAATTAGTAATAACACGTGTTATAATAATAAGTAATTACACGAGTTGTAATAATTAGTAATTACACGTGTTGTAATAATTAGTAATTACACGTGTTGTAATAATTAGTAATTACACGAGTTGTAATAATTAGTAATAACACGTGTTGTAATAATTAGTAATTACACGTGTTGTAATAATTAGTAATTACACGTGTTGTAATAATTAGTAATTACACGTGTTGTAATAATTAGTAATTACACGTGTTGTAATAATTAGTAATTACACGAGTTGTTCACCAGAGGGTACTTGTTGTGCTGTGTGGATCTGGAGGCAGAGTTACGGATCTGCCGACTGATTTAAGGATGTTACAGTGTTAAATACTTTGTAATTTTAAATTTTGATACAATTTACAATTCCCAGCTCTGAATATATTTCAAAGCTTGAAATTGGATGAGAAAATGACCCAGAAATCATACTCTTAATAATACGTTTAATATTATACTTAGTGTTGAACATGTTGAACTACTGATATTGTAGGGGGTTTACTTATCTAATACCCCAATCTTATCTTCAGATTTGGTTTATTTCTCGCTAGTTAGGAAAATACGTAAGTAAGGAAAATACGTTGTATTGGGAACTTGGTTTTGCTTTTGAGAGTTTAAATACTGTATAACCAGGGTTTTGTATGTATGGATACAAGGATACAGAAATTATAATTACATTTATTGAGTTCACAATAATTGTAACCCTGAAATAATTTACACATCACGGGCAAGTTGGTCCCCTCACGATCAAAATTAGTATGTTAGGCTCCATTTGGAGAAAGGAAATGGCCGCAGTAAATCGGAGTTTTACTGTACCATGGTTCACTATTTGACTACATAGTAGTTTCCTCCTAGTCTGAGGAGAGAATACATTACTATGTGGTAATAACAATGACTTATCATTGGAACATGCAGTATGGAGTGTATATATTATTTACACACTCAGAATTTACAATATATATATATTATATACATTAATTCTCACAAGGAAGCTGACTTTCTCAGAAAGTTGTTATTCACTTCCTAGCGTGTCAAGTTACTCCGTAAAACATGTCATATTGAGGTTATAAGTTATAACAGTGATGATAGCGACAAAATACAGATGGTTGAGTACTGAGTAGCAGGCTTATCATGCAAAACATTGTTTGTGCTCTGACGATAACGGCACGGAAACAAGTTGGCTCTATTTATAGTAACAAACATCTCCTGGTAACAAGGATTGAGAATACTATTATACTAAGTATACCTTCATTTGTATTTGCTTACAAGCTCAACTATCTACGGAAATTGTACATCAGCTGAAGCCAAACCTGTTCTCATCTCTGTATTCGTGTATTCGTACTCGCATTCTTATCTCTACACACACATGTTGTGTACTCATCACATGTTTTCAGTCTGTATCGTCCCAGACAGGCTCTCACCTTACAGTTTCACACTGTAATATTACACTAGCATTGTAATATTACACTAGCATTGACCTGATTGTAAGTGTTTCACCGCGTATACACTTTACACTATACAAGTAACATATCCCTACAATGAGAATATAAATTCATGCTACCAAATTATTCATCGAGACTACTGACCTACCTATGTGACCTATGTACTACAGACAATAATTTGATCATTTCATCTCTACTGAGCATCTTCATCCCGTTAATATTGACAACTCATGAAACTTACAATAATGAAAATAAACATACAGCTGATGGTAAGTTATTTGGAGGAAAGTTGTGCAAGTGATACGGACTATAGTGAGTCAGACCCTCTTTCTGGTAACCATGGTGATAAGAACTACCGGCTCCCTCGTACCAACAGAGCTGCAGCTGTTTTACTTATTCTTGTAAGTATAATTATACAGTTTGTCAGTTTTTAGTGTGGCCATGTTTAGCTTATTGATAAGTAATGCTATAACTTTATTTTCTATGCTTGATGATGCGTGCAAACAGATTAATAATAATGAAAGTGTGTACCAGCTCTTCGATCTGTGGGATTTTATCTAGATTATAATATCATAATAATCAAGAATGAACCACATTTCCATTTGTATTCTATGACCTATGTTACAATTGATTAATACGGAGTGTGTTTCAGGTGACAGTATTTGAGAGGTGTGGCTACTACACACTAACTGTTAACATGCCCTTTACCCTCAGTCGGTGGTTCAGACTTTCGTCTAGTAAGTAACGATACACTCGACTATCACGTGACTTACTTTAACACGTTCTCTAGATGGCCCCCAATTTTCGCCGATAACTCGCTAGGGGAGCATTTTAACCCGATGTCATGTGGGGTGATTCGGAATCAGCGCTCTAAAATACATTGGTTCAAGCTGGTTTCAACTGTCATGGGACACTTTTAGAAAAATCTCGAAAATCGAGTGTAGAATAATTTAGCACGCTCGTTAAAAAATTAGACTAACCTGGTCATCCTCAGCAAAGAATCAAGGTCTAGCGAACTGTACTGGCGATTCATCTTCAACAAACTACTCTCATTTGGAGTGAGTATTCAGTTTTACGTTTATGTTGAGTTCGGCTTACCTTTGAAACGGTCTACAGTTTATTTGAGAGCACGTTTCCTTGATTTTTGTAGTGGATTTGTAGTGCTTTTCACCCCTGTAGTGCTTTTATGTTCCGGGGTAGGTGGGACATGTTTTAGTTTAAAAATGGGTTCTGCCTGTCCCAGACCATCATAAAAATCAAGTTTCGACCTCTCAACCCACTCGGGCCACTCCCAGGGGCCACGCCCATCCCAAAATGACCGAAATCCAGCTAAATCCAGACTTTAAAATCTTTACCCCTGTAGTGCTTTTATGTTCCGGGGTAGGTGGGACATGTTTTAGTTTAAAAATGGGTTCTGCCTGTCCCAAACCATCATAAAAATCAAGTTTCGACCTCTCAACCCACTCGGGCCACTCCCAGGGGCCACGCCCATCCCAAAATGACCGAAATCCAGCTAAATCCAGACTTTAAAATCTTTACCCCTGTAGTGCTTTTATGTTCCGGGGTAGGTGGGACATGTTTTAGTTTAAAAATGGGTTCTGCCTGTCCCAAACCATCATAAAAATCAAGTTTCGACCTCTCAACCCACTCGGGCCACTCCCAGGGGCCACGCCCATCCCAAAATGACCGAAATCCAGCTAAATCCAGACTTTAAAATCTTTACCCCTGTAGTGCTTTTATGTTCCGGGGTAGGTGGGACATGTTTTAGTTTAAAAATGGGTTCTGCCTGTACCAAACCATCATAAAAATCAAGTTTCGACCTCTCAACCCACTCGGGCCACTCCCAGGGGCCACGCCCATCCCAAAATGACCGAAATCCAGCTAAATCCAGACTTTAAAATCTTTACCCCTGTAGTGCTTTTATGTTCCGGGGTAGGTGGGACATGTTTTAGTTTAAAAATGGGTTCTGCCTGTACCAAACCATCATAAAAATCAAGTTTCGACCTCTCAACCCACTCGGGCCACTCCCAGGGGCCACGCCCATCCCAAAATGACCGAAATCCAGCTAAATCCAGACTTTAAAATCTTTACCCCTGTAGTGCTTTTATGTTCCGGGGTAGGTGGGACATGTTTTAGTTTAAAAATGGGTTCTGCCTGTCCCAAACCATCATAAAAATCAAGTTTCGACCTCTCAACCCACTCGGGCCACTCCCAGGGGCCACGCCCATCCCAAAATGACCGAAATCCAGCTAAATCCAGACTTTAAAATCTTTACCCCTGTAGTGCTTTTATGTTCCGGGGTAGGTGGGACATGTTTTAGTTTAAAAATGGGTTCTGCCTGTACCAAACCATCATAAAAATCAAGTTTCGACCTCTCAACCCACTCGGGCCACTCCCAGGGGCCACGCCCATCCCAAAATGACCGAAATCCAGCTAAATCCAGACTTTAAAATCTTTACCCCTGTAGTGCTTTTATGTTCCGGGGTAGGTGGGACATGTTTTAGTTTAAAAATGGGTTCTGCCTGTCCCAAACCATCATAAAAATCAAGTTTCGACCTCTCAACCCACTCGGGCCACTCCCAGGGGCCACGCCCATCCCAAAATGACCGAAATCCAGCTAAATCCAGACTTTAAAATCTTTACCCCTGTAGTGCTTTTATGTTCCGGGGTAGGTGGGACATGTTTTAGTTTAAAAATGGGTTCTGCCTGTACCAAACCATCATAAAAATCAAGTTTCGACCTCTCAACCCACTCGGGCCACTCCCAGGGGCCACGCCCATCCCAAAATGACCGAAATCCAGCTAAATCCAGACTTTAAAATCTTTACCCCTGTAGTGCTTTTATGTTC